GGGCAGGGGGGATTTGCAAATCTGGCAGCCTGAGTTGAAATCAACCCGTCTCGGACGTTTGGGCAGGCAGGTATTTCGAACACTGCCTTACCCCTAACAGTAGCTGGAATATTTCTAAGAGCTATACTCACTCATTCCCTGTAAATATATGTTAATCAGCTTTTTTTGACATATTATAATGAAACTGGACACAACAGACACGTTATTGTTGTATGGACAAAAATTATATGTTAAAAGTATGTATATTATAACTGAAGTGCTGTCTTTACAAAAAAGACCTATTTTAGACATATAATGAAACTGGAGACAACAGACTCGTTCTTGTCATATGGACTTTATTGATCTGAAGCTTGGCCAAAGTCTAGCACCGCGATATGGAAATACCATGGTGACATGTTTTTACCTACATTTTGAATATTGCATTAGATATTGTCCATTATGCAAAGGAAATAAACTGATAGCTTAAATTTGCAGCTGTGGTTCACAATGTGTAGATGACTTAACAGACTTTTCTTTTGTATCATTTCAGGCTGTCAGCATAAACCACAAAATTTACGATCTTTCACCAAAATTATATTCTAATAAGAGCCCCTATTTCTAATTTTGAGAGCTCTCTGGGCGCTTATTACGTCGAATACAGTACTTCCTACTCATTTAATGCCTCAGCATTTTTGTCAGTGAGATATTGCAAAATGTGTTGTAATCACTGTTTCTTGTTCACTACTAAAAATGGCCGCTACGAACTTGTGTCTAAAGCTGGCTTTTCCTTTTGAACCTGCTCCAAAATATTTATTGTCAAGAAGTTTCCATGCGATTTGATGTAAATGTGGGTATCGCGATGCATGTTGTATCATGACCTATGTATAGACATATAAAGAAACTGGAGACAACAGACTCATTCTTGTCGTATGGACTTTATTGATCTGAAGCTTGGCCAAAGTCTAGCACCGTGATACGGAAATACAATGGTGACATGTTTTTACCTACATGTTGTATATTGCATTGGATATTGTCCATTATACAAAGGAAATAAACCGGTACCTTTGCAGCTGACTGGTTCACAATGTTTAGATGATATACCCTGTCAGTTTCAGATTCTGCCAGAGTGCTCGCATTGCGGTAACCATGGTAACAGCAGATATATGTCCTCTCCCTTTTTTCTGAAAATAAACATGTGGTGGCTGGGCTTTGTTAGAGAATAAACATGAAGAACAGTTTTTTGTATATAGATCAGCAATACCAATATTGTGGTATAGAGAACTTCAGTGTCCATGAAGGGTGAAACGATACATCTTGGCACCGGTGCATCGTGAGTTCATGCAATGATACAATATATGGTACACAATACATTCTTTTCTGTATCAATACAAGACAATACACTTGCTAAAATAAATTACTTTCTACTCATTTAATGACCCCCAGTGTTTTTGTCAGTCAGATATTGCAAAATGTGTTGTAATTACTGTTTTTTGTTCACTACTAAAAAAAGCCGCTACGAACATGTGTCTAAAGCTGGCTTTTCCTTTTGAACCTGCTCCAAAATATTTATTGTCAAGAAGTTTCCATGCAATTTGATGTAAATATGCGTATCGCGATGCATATATTATATCATGACCTATGTATCATGATACGTATCGTATCATGTCCCTGTCAGTTGCTTATATTGGTGATGGTGTTATATTATCAGGATGAAGTGGGCTAGGTTTCGGATATTTTGCATCAGGACATTTTGTAAATATAATTATGTGTCTGCAGGTCTGGCTAAAAAGATTAATAATCGGAATTATCGTTGATGGGAAGAAATATTAATGATTATCGTATGAAACTGTTGTCATCGATAATAATTAACATAATATATTGTGATGAAATAAAGTTAAGATTTACTGAAACAGACTTGTCACTGTCAATTGTCAAAGACGGAAAGTGACAGTTTTTGTTATATCTCAAATGTCCACAAAGTAATCCATGCATAAAAGTGTCTGCTCGCCAGTGGTATGAAATATGTTGATTTCTTTCGGGACTTTCTTGCTTTTTTGTTTAAAGTTACTTCTCCGATATTAATCAATAATTGATCAACATTTATTTGGCCATTATCGATCTCTATACTCTATATCGATAGCCAGCCCTATGTGTCTGGTCGGGTAGCCTAGTAGCTAAAGTGTTTTCTTGTCACGCTGAAGACCCAGGTTCAATTCCCGACATGGGTATATTGTGTGAAGCCCATTTCTAGTGTTCCCCGCAGTAATATTGCTGGAATATTGCTAAAAGCGGCTAAAACCATACTCACTCACCATGTGTCAATATATTTCCAGTCTAGTCTTGACCTGTTATACTGCTCAACTTTGCTCAAAATACATGTTGAGTATGAACATATAGAAAGAGCACAATGTAGATCATCTAACTAGATTGCATAGTTTCTGCACATGATAAAACTTATAGAGAAGCAAGTGCATGATGAATGACGTAATAAATTGAGCATGACGTCTTTTGTTTGCGAATTGTTCAAAACATGTGACTATTATTGCGTACTTTTGTCCTTTATTTCGTTTTTGTATTTTTTTATGAATGGCTGCCCACAGTAATTGCCTTGTAAAACAGTTTTAGTGTCGTTTTAGTGTCGTTGTTTTAGTGTCATTGTTTTAGTGTCACTGTTTTAGTCATTGTTTTAGTGTCATTGTTTTAGTGTCACTGTTTTAGTGTCATTGTTTTAGTGTCGTTGTTTTAGTGTCATTGTTTTAGTGTCATTGTTTTAGTGTCACAAATTTTGCTCATTTTCACTTAATCTCTGACAGCTGTTTAACCCGCTGTTTATGGTTTTAATAAGCGCTTATGACAGGTAATACGATAGTCCTAGTGTGAAGAAAACTAATTTAAGCCAGTCGACATAATATTGTATTCACAATGCAGTGTTTACTGGACTGGATTCATGCATATACGGTTGTTTACAATGCTCGCTAGTATCGACTTACCAGGCTTATTAATAACAGCAGATTGTCTGGTTTATTTCAAATTCATATCAAATGATAATCTTGCTGAGTGTTGGTGATCTGTCCTCTGCTGGCATCTGAGATCAACGTAAGTTTTCCATACTTATGCGGGGTAGAATAGGTCTTCAGCAACCCATGCTTGCCTTAAAAGGCGACTATGCTTGACGTAAGAGGCGACTAACGGGATCGCATGGTCAGGCTTGCTGACTTGGTTGATGCATGTCATCAATCCCAATTGCGTGGATCGATGCTCATGATTTCAATCGCTGAATTGTCTGGTCCAGACTCGATTATTTACAGACCGCCGTCATATAGCTGGAATATTGCTGAGTGCGGCGTTAAACAATAAACAAACAATCAAACCAAATACTTATGTTTGTTTTCCAAATCATATTTATAGCAAACTTTACATGGACTGAAGACTGGATTTTGTCAGAGTGTCTCTTATTTAAGAAATATATGAGTGTGAGTTGTTTATCATACAATCGTACAATAAAACATTTGGGGAATAAATCATGAGGGTGAACCCCCCGAGTGGTTTATTCTCCCTGCGGTGTTTTATTGTATGATAAACAACGACCAAGAGTTGTTTATTTCTTATATGTGATATCAACATAATGTAAGCGTCTTTAAGCATGATGATCAAATGTTCAGGCTTTAAAAATATTTACCTGTATTTAAATAATAATGACTCCCTAAATAGAATCCGACCCCGGCAATGTTTGACAAGTCCATTTTATGCACGCATGTGTATTTCCCGCATATTCACACAATCCTCACGACTTTTACCTGTGCATTTTCTCCCATTATGGATTGTCATATCTCACTGTTTTGGATGCAATCGTTCGGCCATCGCGTTTATCTGCTTTGTCGAGCTATACATCTAGACACTCTCCTCTAAAAGATAACGTTGTCCAATATACGATGTCATCAAGTTGCAAGCCCATGCTCGAATCTAGAAATGACATCATGATAGAACAATGGTTTATCATGAAATAAACCTCACATGGTTCTTCATTGTTCGACCACCTCCGTGGTCTAGTGGTAGAGCGTCCGCCCGGAGAGCGGAAGGTCCGGGGTTCGATCCCCAGCCGCGTCATACCAAAAGATGTTAAAAGATGGTACTTGTTGTTACCCTGTCTGGCGCTCGGGATTAAAGGGGTTAAAACAAGGACTGGTTGGCTCGGAGTCAGTATACTGTGTCTGAGTGGGGTATTCATGTGTGCTAGCACTATAAATCGGCATCAGTCCGGACTAGTACAAGCAGCCACACACACACATACACGTCGCTATATAAGTGCAATAATCTTGGACGCGACGTTAAACCCCATTTCACCTCACCTTCATTGTTCTTTTCGATTTATCGTGTAGCTATCTTATATTTTTCTGTCAAACTGTAGGCTCCTGAAGTAAATGCATTGCATATGAGTCACCAGTAAAAGTCTAGTCTAGTTTTCTGATGAAGTTGTCAGACATTTTGAGAGTGATCTCCCCTGATTGTTAATGTCTTTCAACTCAGGGTGTCTCAACCGCTGACAATAAACTGGTTGATTGTTTTTACATATGCCATATGCAGAGCTCCAGATAACACTTTGAGCAATTGAGTTTTTACTCTAGGGTTTCTATTTCAATTGGGTTATAACATTTTTCATTGGGTAACCAATATTATTTCACTCATCCATTCATCACTCTATTGGGTTTTTCCCAAAATTAGTGAACATTTTAAGATTTAAAAATAATGAAATAATGTTTTAGATGTATATAACTGTTCTAAATATTTAGGCTTGACTCAGAAAGTAGATTAGCTCACAACTGTGTTTCGGATATTAGCTCCGTTGTACGCATGCTGAAAAAGCTTCATTTGGTATTTACGCGTGCGATTTTTATACTTTAGAGTTTTTCCTTTAATACATGCGTTTTTGTAAGTAATTGGGTTTTGAATATTTTTGGGGAGTATTTTACGCAAATACGCAGCTTATCTGTAGCTCTGCATATTCTCCTACTTTGTTGCAGGTAGATCACAATGGTAGATGTTTTCTCCCTGGTTATTGGTTCGGTTGTCGTCGTGTGCGTCATCCAACTACTTCGACTGATCGTCGCAGACTGTGACCTAGTGCTGCAGTGGGCCACGAAATTTGGAAAATCTCCAAGTATGCGTTTCAAAATTTTCAAATATAATATTGGCTGGATACATGTATTCAAAAGTGACTCCAGGGAGGATTGGAGAAGTATAAGAATGGGATAAAAGATACTATTTTGTCAAAATAATCCACTGGCCGTAACATTCCAAAAGAAATGATAAGATGGTAATTGTTGTTTCCCTGCCTGGCACTTGGCACATGGTTAAAACAAGGACTGGCCAGGTTCGAGTTACTGTAATATGTCTGAATGGGGTATCACTGTTAAGCTGCATCTGGTATCTCAGCCGGATAACACTATAAAACTGTCATGAATCTGGTGTAGTATACTGTGTAGGATACTTTAAAGACTGCATGTTGGCCAATGTTAGAGCTGTAAAAATGTACTTTTGTCCATTAATTTGCTATAATGTTTCCTTTATCCATACACCAGAATGTCTGAAAGGTAAAGTGGTCTGGGTGACTGGGGCCTCGAGTGGTATCGGGGAGTCCCTTGTTTACGAGCTGGCATCTGCCGGATGTCGTCTGGTGCTGTCTGCCCGTCGAGAAGAGGAGCTGCACCGAGTCAAGAAGCAATGTCTCAGTACGTCCCACTTAACCTGTCTCAGTATGCGCCAGTAGCCTTGGAACTAGTCACTGATGTCTCAGTACGTCCCAGTAGCCTTGGAACTAGTCACTGATGTCTCAGTACATCCCAGTATCCTTGGAAATAGTCACTGATGTCTCAGTACGTCCCATTATCCTTGGAACTAGTCACTGATGTCTCAGTACATCCAAGTATCCTTGGAACTAGTCAGCAATGTCTCAGTACATCCAAGTATCCTTGGAACTAGTCACTGATGTCTCAGTACATCCCAGTAGCCTTGGAACTAGTCAGCAATGTCTCAGTACATCCCATTATCCTTGGAACTAGTCACTGATGTCTCAGAACATCCCAGTAGCCTTGGAACTAGTCACTGATGTCTCAGTACATCCCAGTAGCCTTGGAACTAGTCAGCAATGTCTCAGTACATCCCAGTATCCTTCGAACTAGTCACTGATGTCTCAGTACATCCCAGTAGCCTTGGAACTAGTCACTGATGTCTCATTACATCCCAGTAGCCTTGGAACTAGTCACTGATGTCTCAGTACATCCCAGTAGCCTTGAAACTAGTCACTGATATCTCAGTACATCCCAGTATCCTTGGGACTAGTCACTGATGTCTCAGTACATCCCAGTATCCTTGGAACTAGTCAGCAATGTCTCAGTACATCCCAGTATCCTTGGAACTAGTCACTGATGTCTCAGTACATCCCAGTAGCCTTGAAACTAGTCAGCAATGTCTCAGTACATCCCAGTATCCTTCGAACTAGTCACTGATGTCTCAGTACATCCCAGTAGCCTTGGAACTAGTCAGCAATGTCTCAGTACATCCCAGTATCCTTCGAACTAGTCACTGATATCTCAGTACGTCCCAGTAGCCTTGAAACTAGTCACTGATATCTCAGTACATCCCAGTAGCCTTGGAACTAGTCACTGATGTCTTTTTACATCCCAGTATCCTTGGAACTAGTCACTGATGTCTCAGTACATCCCAGTAGCCTTGGAACTAGTCAGCAATGTCTCAGTACATCCCAGTAGCCTTGGAACTAGTCACTGATGTCTCAGTACATCCCAGTATCCTTGGAACTAGTCACTGATGTCTCAGTACATCCAAGTAGCCTTGGAACTAGTCACTGATGTCTCAGAACATCCCAGTAGCCTTGGAACTAGTCACTGATGTCTCAGTACGTCCCAGTAGCCTTGGAACTTGTTAGTGATGTTTCAGTACATCCCAGTAGCCTTGGAACTAGTCACTGATGTCTCAGTACGTCCCAGTAGCCTTGGAACTAGTTAGTGATGTCTCAGTACATCCCAGTAGCCTTGGAACTAGTCACTGATGTCTCAGTACGTCCCAGTAGCCTTGGAACTAGTCACTGATGTCTCAGTACATCCCAGTAGCCTGGGAACTAGTCAGTGATGTCTCAGTACATCCCAGTAGCCTTGAAACTTGTCAGTGATGTCTCAGTACATCCCAGTAGCCTGGGAACTAGTCAGTGATGTCTCAGTACATCCCAGTAGCCTTGAAACTAGTCAGTGATGTCTCAGTACATCCCAGTAGCCTTGGAACTAGTCACTGATGTCTCAGTACATCCCAGTAGCCTGGGAACTAGTTACTGATGTCTCAGTATGTCCCAGTAGCCTTGGAACTATGTGTGTTCATACCTTGATGCATGTTTCTGCCCTACCGATGTGTGTCTCTGCCAAACTGAAGTGTATGTGTGTTTGTCTTCAGCATGTGGGCCGCTCAAAGACAAAGACATCATGGTGGTGCCGTTAGACATGGTCAAACAATACGAACATGCATATGCCGTCAAGAAAGTTCTCAAGCATTTTAAACAGGTACTCCCTTGGTCTTGCTGTAGTCTGTCTCCAACTTTCCAGGACAAAAGAATACTTTAGCTGGGCTTCAAGAAATCAGTTACTTAATAGTCGTTTGAAACAGGACTGCTTTCAGGTGTTGCTGGTTTTAACCGCCATGTTTCTGATATCTGCTATGCAAAGATTATTGGTATTAGAGATATATCTTCCTCCAAAGGGGCCACGGGTGGCCCAGTCGTCTAAGGCGCCGCAATTCGCTGTGCAGAGTTGCGTCCCTTGGGCATGCTAGAAACCTATGGTTCGAATCCCGGTTCGCCCCGATTATGTTTCTAGGTTTGTCAGCACCATACCCGTGCTCGTGGGTTTCACCGAAGTGGTAAACATTTGAGACCGGCATCACTCCGGGCTTTCCTCCCACATTAAGCTGACACATCGCGATATAACTAGAATACTCTTTAAAGCGGCATCAAACCCAACTCACTCTTCTTCCAGATGGCCTTTGGGAATTCTTTTGGCACATGTCATGAAATGGTCAAGGGTAAAGGTCATGACAAAAAATCTATGTCGCTTCACCTTCTGTTCATGCATGTATCATTAAACTCAGTAGGCCTTTATACCTTCTGTAAGATTGGGCCATGCTTTGAAAAGGATTTTGGTCAAAGGTGAAGGTCATTGTTCAGGTTTGTGTAAAACATGGCTAAAACATGTTTATTGTCATATTCACTTTTACTTGGGTACTTGTTGGATCTTCAGCAGTCTTCTTGATAAGGGTCAAATGTCTAGAAGTAATGTTTTCAAATTTTAAGCACACAGATATTTGAGGACATTGCCATTAAGGGGTGCTTCTGTTTTTGCACATTTTATCATTGCCGTATCTGTATGCTGACAGTTCAAAGAATTTGTGATTATTGATTAAACTTTATGAATAGTTAGAAGTAGTGATGGTACCAGGACAACAAGACCGCCTCCATGGTCTAGTGGTAGAGCGTCCGCCCGGAGAGCGGAAGGCCCGGGGTTCGATCCGCGGCCTCGTCAGGCCAAAAGAGGTTAAAAAATGGTACTTTTTGTTACCTTGTCTCGGCATTAAGGGGCTAAAACAAAGACTGGTCGGCTTGGAGTCAGTATACTGTGTCTGAGTGGGGTATTCATGTTAAACTGCGGCATGGTATCTCAGTGTACTAGCACTATAAATCGGCTTCAGTCCGGACTAGTACAAGCAGACACACACACACACGTGCATGCACGTCGCTATATAAGTGCAATAATCTTGGACGCGACGTTAAACCCTGTTTTACCTCACCTCACCAGGACAACACATGTAAAACTCTTAAAAGAAGGAACAACAAAAATATCAACCAATGTGACTGCTTCTAACATAGAAACAAGTCGGATGAGGATGTAATTTACTCTTCAGATAGACATTCTTGTGAACAACGCCGGTAGGTCACAGCGGGCTGACTGGGTGAATACATCCATCGATGTTGATCGTGAGATGCTGGAGACCAACGTCCTAGGAACCTTATCGCTGACTAAAGCTGTCCTTCCAGACATGATAGCTCGGAGAGACGGGCACATCGTGGTCATGAGTAGTGTTGCTGGGAAAGTGGGTATGTTGAGTTTATGTTGAGAACTGAGTTGAATTATTTTGTGTTTCTGAAGGTATATTACAGACTTGCGTTATACACGTGGATTTACTAAGTGTTCACACCGTATTTTATGTTTTTGACTCCGTAAACACAAAAACACATTGAAATCATTTCTTATAAATAAATATTTATAATAATTGACTTCAATATTTTCATGCAATACACAGATTTTATGAAAGATATTGGTCAATTCTTCAATATAAACAATTCCCTATAAATACATTGCAAGCGATTTCGTGGCATTTGATTGGGTAGCCATGCAATTTATTTTACGTTTGTTTATATGAGCCAAAATAAATTAGGCCATGTGGTCTGTCAGACTGACTGAAAACGTTTTGCGTTGATGTTTCTATAAGCCGAAACAAATTAGATCAGGCCAAGTATCAGACTGCTGTTTCCAGTTTGAGTCATAACAGAATAGGTGGGGCTTGTATTGCATTTTTGCGCTGAACATTGTCACTGATTTCGTACTGTTGTCTGTTATTAGCAGACATGTTTTCCAATATCAGCCGTTATTTATTTTTGTGTCTACAGATATGTAGAATTTAGTCGCCACAAGATATTTTTCAAGGTAGTCATTTGGCTACCTCTGAATTTTAGACAGTAGACAAACTGAAATTTAGGTCGTATTGGCTACCGTTTTAGTCTCAACGTTGAGGCCTGTCATTAGTTGGTTGCCACGACAACCATGACGTACTGGGGACCCATTCTGCCCTGACTGTGACTTTCTACAATGTCAAGGTAAAAGTTCCTGTATACCGGTACTGATTTCGTCATTACATGTCCGGGGTTATTTCTTTCATTACTGTATTTGGCGTTTCAACACTTCGGATTAGAAAGCTATGTCAGCTGGTACAGGGATGCTTTGTTGCGAAGGCCAAATAATGGCTGAGGCTTTCACCATTGCATCAGTAAACATGGTTCAGTTTGTTTATGAAAATTCCACTCGCATCATTAAGGTTACATTAAACCAACTGTTTTCATATATAGACTATAGTAACGTTATATTTTTTTTTAAATAACAAAGTGTTCAGCAGCTATTACCTGTACTTGTGTGCACAGTTTAGCCTTGGAGCAGCAATAAAAAACACAAAAATTGACCAGCTTTGCCAGTTCCTTTTCCAAGTACAAAAAGCTAAACACACCACCCCCAGTTCCGCAGCAATTGTCCCTTGCTTGAAAATATCTGTGGTCACATTCAGCCAAATCATCTTGTTGAAAAAGACGGCACTAAATATGGAAAGACATGGTCAGTTTTAGTTACTGGATGGATGTACATTTCAAAAACATAAAAATCTTACACAAAATCATCCAATCGCAGCGGCCAGATGATTCAATCTGCACTGAAGGCGCTCTACGAAACCTTCTTGGTGAACAACTGATTCTGATTTGGTGTGTAGAACCTGCAACTTCTGTAGGTGTAAGAAGGGAGGTAACTCTAAACTAAATCAAGGGGTGTAACTCTACCAACCCTATGCATCGTCTTGTCATATTGATTGTTAAATGTATTTTCAAAACAATGTCTGAAATACATAAAGTGTTTTATTTAATTGCAGGAGCGCCATTGTCCGGATCATACACTGGGTCTAAACATGCACTCCAGGCAAGTCATTGTTTTTTTAATGTTTTTAGACAGAAAACAAGCAGAAAATTTACCTGAAATTACAAACGGTTAACATACTATAAATTCAAATGAACTATTGTGTGATGTAAATGGTATAAGGAATGTAGATGTGTGTAACAAGGCAAGAGAGTTAACAGACTGTAAAAAGCCAGTTTCCACGCTTGGTGAACTAAGCTGGAATTTCCTGGCTTGATCGTAGCGCCACCAGTGGCTATTACGAGTTATGTCTCTTCTATGTCCCTCCTACTGACCAATTAGATTCCATTTCTCATATAAGATGCATTCAAGCAAAAAGGCTGTAACCCAGTCAAGATTATCAGATCGCAAATCAAGAACTATATTGTATGTGCCTTATCCACTGAAGGGCATCAAATCACGTGAGCACCTTGATTAAAAACATGAAAAGATTTGGAAAATATCTGTCGATGCCCAGTTGATGGTACTTTGCAAATCCTGCAGTTGAAAAAAATATGCACATTGAAATCCATGTTGTTTACAAAGCGGATGTCTAGTTTGTTACACGATTTTGATTGTCCTATGCATAGACTTGTAAGTCCAGCTAAAATGTACCTCCAAAATTCCAGCCTAGTTCAGCAAGGATGGAAACTGGACTTTTATAGTCCGGTAAGCAATATTTTAAAACGGACATTTGAGATTCCCAATCGGACATGTCCGGCTCATATGACGGTTTCCGGACCCCTGGTTTACTCCCTTGCCTCAGAAAGATTGCAGATGATGGTATACATGACTGACTGGTTTGAGTGTTAATATGAGGAGACTACCCGGACCCATGGTTAGTCACGTGATATATTGTTCAATGACAAAACATATCTAAAACTATGTTTTAACTACAAGTCACTAATGTTCGCAGTTCTTCCCCATCTCATTAAAATCAGATCTTAGTTCTTCCTTTTGCTAAACAAAGATCTGAGGACATCCCATTACGGGTAACGTCAGAACGAGCTTTCATCTGACCAATCAAAGTGTCGCTTACCTGATCATGAAAGTGACAGTCGGAATGTGTTTTCTAACCTCAAAAACGTTAACACGGGTATTCCGAACGACAGTTACATCCCGTACCACTGATTCCGTCAAAATTATGTTCCATCTCTTGCTTCCTGGGGATAAACATTTGAACGAGGAGGCGTTGCACAGTACGTGGGAAGCACTGTCATACAATCTCAACCATATATTAGACATTCCGGAATGTTCATTTGTTCAGTTTTCAAAATTTCAATAGAGAACTGTGTCAACATATTTTTCGAGTAGTCTCAAATGGAAGTCGCCAGGTTAAAATGAGTGCTTTAAAGCTAGAGGAAGCTGCTTTCTAATGGCTGATGTCGACTTCTTGTTAGTCCTTTTCAGTGGTCGGTCAAAGTTCGTGAAAAGTCGTCCTGACGTGACCCGTAATGGAATGTCCACAGATCTTTGTTTAGCGTCAGCGAGAACTTAGATCTTATTTTAATGAGATTGCAGTTTTTCCTGACATACTACACCCATTCCTTCTGATTTTTATTTGTTTGAATGAAAATAAGACTTCAGTCAACTTCAGTGTATACACCAGATCGTTTCATACATGTATCTAAACACATTCTACCAGAGCTACGGTCAAACTTTTCCCAATCGGACAGTTTGTACCTTCCTCTCGAAACCTACAGCGGGTACCGGGTAGGGTCAGGTAATAGGGGGGTGGGTACCCTGGTAGTAAATTTGGACTTATTCCAGCCCTATTTGAGTGTTTATATCAGGGATGTTATTTGTGCAAACAGGGCTGGTTCGAGTGTTTGCGGATTGAACAATATTCCAACAACATCAAGGTGACGATGGTTTGTCCTGGACCTGTCTTCTCCAGCTTGCTGTCTATTGCCATGACGGAGGAGAAAGGAAAGGTAGGATGGTGATTGGTAAACCTCACGAGGCCCACTTGGGATCTTACTGCTAAGACTCTCATGTTCTAATAGAGGCTTTAGATTGTATTGGTATTAAAATCGTAGTGTTTTTAAGAATTGAGATCCATGAAGATCCTGGTTAAAATAGGTCCCCAGCAACCCCTGCTTGCCGTGAAAGGCGACTATGCTTATCGTAAGAGGCGACAAATGGGATCGGGTGGTCAGGCTTGCTGACTTGGTTGATGCATGTCATCGTATCCCAATTGGGTGGATTGATTCTCATGTTGTCAATCACTGGATTGTCTGGTCCAGACTTGATTATTTACAGACCGCGGTTATATAGCTGGAATATTGCTGAGTGCAGCATTGAACAACAAACAAACAATATTAGAATTGACCTAAGATCGTCTTCACTTTAAGATTGCATTGTGCAGGTAGATCCAGAATTGGAAAAATACAATAAATGTCAAGTTAATCTTCTTCGTTATTTTTACTGTATCAAACACACTGTTAAACACTGTGCACTGTCACGTTTGGCTTGTAGATACATCCCCTCAGGTTTTTATTTGCTTTCATCACTGCTTTGAACCCTCGTCAGTTGCTTTTCATCAAAGGGTCCTTTGTGTGTAATGGTACTTTAAAGGCTTCTTGGTTGACAATCATTGCTACTTTTTATAGATTGGATGAACAACATTGTTGCATATTGGTGAGGTTTGCTTGATCTGGTTGGTGGATATTGCCAAAGTTTTTATTAGGGGTGGTGGATATCGCTGAGGTTTTCACATATGGGATGCTGGATATTGCTGAAGTTTTTATTAGGGGTGGTGGATATTGCGGAAGTTTTCATAGAAGGGGTGGTAGATATTGCTGAAGTTTGTATTAGGGGTGGTGGATATTGCTGAAGTTTTTATTAGGGTTGGTGGATATTGCTGAAGTTTTTATTAGGGGTGGTGGGTTTTGCTGAAGTTTTCATAAACTGGTTGATGGATATTGCTGAAGTTTTCATATAAGGTGTGGTGGATATTGCTGAAGTTTTCATATTAGGTGTGGTGGATATTGCTGAAGTTTTCATATAAAGGGTGGTGGATATTGCTAAAGTTTTCATATTAGGTGTGATGGATATTCCTGAAGATTTCATATCAGGGGTGGTTGATATTGCTGAAGTTTTCATATCAGGGGTGGTGGATATTGCTGAAGTTTTCATTTCGGGGGTTGTGGATATTGCTGAAGTTTTCATATCATGGGTTGTGGATATTGCTGAGGTTTTCATATTAGGGGTGGTGGATATTGCTGAAGTTTTCATATCAGGGGTGGTTGATATTGCGGAAGTTTTCATATACTGGGTGCTGCATATTTCTAGTTATAAGAGGCACAGTGGTTGTGCGGTAGCCTAGTGGCTATGGTGTAGTAGTGTACCCACTGTGATATTGCTGGAATATTGCTACAAGAGGTTGTAACACTTCACTCACTCACTCACTCTACATGTCATGGATGTGTGTTGACTGATCAGGTGGTGGGAGGGGAGATGATACCAGGGGAAAAGAGGATGGCAACATCCCGGTGTGCCAGTCTGACAGCTGTCGCCATCGCCAACCAGCTGGATGAGGTGTGGATCTCGGAGCACCCAGTACTGGTCTTTACCTATATGTTCCAGTACCTTCCTTCCTTTGCAAGAAGGTGAGTCTCCTTTAACATCCTCCACATACATCTACCAGTACCTTCCTTCCTTCACAAGAAGGTGAGTCTCCTTTAACATCCTCCACATACATCTACCAGTACCTTCCTTCTTTCACAAGAAGGTGAGTCTCCTTTAACATTCTCCACATACATCTACCGGTACCTTCCTTCCTTCACAAGAAGGTGAGTCTCCTTTAACATTCTCCACATCTACCAGTACCTTCCTTCCTTCACAAGAAGGTGAGTCTCCTTTAACATCCTCCACATACATCTACCAGTACCTTCCTTCTTTCACAAGAAGGTGAGTCTCCTTTAACATTCTCCACATACATCTACCGGTACCTTCCTTCCTTCACAAGAAGGTGAGTCTCCTTTAACATTCTCCACATCTACCAGTACCTTCCTTCTTTCACAAGAAGGTGAGTCTCCTTTAACATTCTCCACATCTACCAGTACCTTCCTTCTTTCACAAGAAGGTGAGTCTCCTTTAACATTCTCAAAAAACATATACCAGTACCTTCCTTCATTCACAAGAAGGTGAGTCTCCTTTAACATTCTCAAAAAAACATATACCAGTACCTTCCTTCCTTCACAAGAAGGTGAGTTTCCTTTAACATCCTCCACATACATCTACCAGTACCTTCCTTCTTTCACAAGAAGGTGAGTCTCCTTTAACATTCTCCACATCTACCAGTACCTTCCTTCTTTCACAAGAAGATGAGTCTCCCTTAACATTCTCCACATCTACCAGTACCTTCCTTCATTCACAAGAAGGTGAGTCTCCTTTAACATTCTCAAAAACATATACCAGTACCTTCCTTCCTTCACAAGAAGGTGAGTTTCCTTTAACATCCTCCACATACATCTACTAATACCTTCCTTCCTTCACAAGAAGGTGAGTCTCCTATAACATTTTCCACATCTACCAGTACCTTCCTTCTTTCACAAGAAGGTGAGTCTCCTTTAACATCCTCCACATACATCTACCAGTACCTTCCTTCCTTCACAAGAAGGTGAGTCTCCTTTAACATCCTCCACATACATCTACCAGTACCTTCCATCATTCACAAGAAGGTGAGTCTCCTTTAACATCCTCCACATACATCTACCAGTACCTTCCTTCCTTCACAAGAAGGTGAGTCTCCTTTAACATTCTCCACATCTACCAGTACCTTCCTTCCTTCACAAGAAGGTGAGTCTCCTTTAACATTCTCAACATACATCTACCAGTACCTTCCTTCTTTCACAAGAAGGTGAGTCTCCTTTAACATTCTCCACATCTACCAGTACCTTCCTTCCTTCACAAGAAGGTGAGTCTCCTTTAACATTGTCCGCATACATCTACCAGTACCTTCCTTCCTTCACAAGAAGGTGAGTCTCCTTTAACATTCTCCACATACACCTACCGGTACCTTCCTTCTTTCACAAGAATCAAATTTCTTTCCTCTGTGAATATTGATTGAGGTATTGACTATATTCCCTGTAGCCATACATGTCACATGACCTGACTACGAAGGATAGTTTAAAAGTGTGAGGTCACCATGCCCTGATGGCGTGGATGGTTGCCATTGCTCTGACCCACTTGTTTGCCTGTCAAGACACAGCAGTCACATTCAGCCAGAGGTGGTTATTGTAATTTGAAACCTCTGATTGACCAATCAGGACTGAGTATGTTCCAAATACATTGTAGGATATGTTGTAATTTTCAGACAGGCCTGTAAGATAGGTCTTGCCCAGTTGAAGAAGATGAGAGAGGGTCAGTAGGGATGAGCCCATAGCTACCATCACTGACCAGCACTTACCAGTACTGACCAGCCCTGACCAGCACAATACAAGACATTTCACAGCTCACGCTTCACTGAACACACAATCCCAAAGTGAAATATCCCAGATTAACAAACTTCTTGGTTGCTGAATGTTAATGAGGCAATGTCCTGATGTATACCTGGTAGCTAGGTTTCTGAACCAAATGTAGGATGGTGTGATATGATTTTGCCTTTCTGTTCACATATATTTGAACTGGATGTGTGTACTATATTTTCCTGCATAATTGTCCTTGTTCAATCAAGTAGTAACATGCATTATTACCTTCATTTTCCAAATATAATGCTTCCTAAACGAATCTGAATCTTGGTGGGGTCTGAGGCTGGCATCTGATTTTTTTTTGTCTTCACAAGATAATGATTATGTGATTGTATACCATGGTTTTATGCATGTTTATGTGTTTATTTTCAAATTTGTCTTGTTAAATATCAAGAGCATTTTTCCCTGTTTCCAGTCACATTGACATCTGTTTTGAGTTGGAAGAGAATTTATGGATGTCAACATATACTCTGAAACATTGTGTTCCTCCTAATAAAGAAGTTGACATCCATGAATTCTCTTATTTATGAGTATCACTTCTAAATGCCTATCAAAGACTCGTTTTGAGTTGCTTCCAAAAGACTGGATCCAAGAGTGTAAAAATATATTGAATAACCTAAAAAACAATCAGTACCCCCAAACATTATCTGGAGCCCTGACAAGTGTTTTATGGTTCAAGTAACTAGCCAATGGCAGATCTTTTTTATGGGTGATTATTCTCTCCTTCCTACGTCAACGGGGGCACGGGTGGCCCAGTCGTCTAAGGCGCCGCGATTCGCTGTGCAGAGTTGCGTCCCTTGGGCGCGCCAGAAACCTATGATTGTGGGTTCGAATCCCGGTTCGGCCCGATTATGTTTCTAGGTTTGTCAGCACCGTACCCGTGCTTGTGGGTTTCACTGAAGTGGTAAACGTCTGAGACCGGCATCACTTCGGGCTTTCCTCCCACATGAAGCTGACACGCCGCGATATGACTGGAATACTGTTAAAAGTGGCGTTAAACCCAACTCACTCACTCACTCCTACATCAACTCAATAGTCAAGTCAAGTGATGATGTTTGTTTGATTGGCATTACTTAGAAGTTGACGGATGACAAGGTAGACATAAATTTATGGATAACAACTTCTTTAAGACTGTAAAAAGCGACGCTTCGGTATAGATCCTTATACCATTGTCAAGAAAGACTGAATGAGGGACATTGTACAGAATATATATAGTAGGTGGAGGATTAACAGTAGAGGATTAACAGTAACAACAATTGCATATATGAGTGGGATAACATAGGTAGGTGTTGACAACAAGGGGATAATACTGTCACAACACGATGGACAGAGAACAATGGGACATGAAGCCAATTAAACAGGATATGATATCGATCTACTATATATATTCTGTACTATGTCCCTCATTCAGTCTTGCTTGACAACGGTATAAGAATCTATACCAAAAGTTGTTATCCATAAAATTGTGTCTACCTTGTCTTTACCACTTATAACACGTAATGTTAGATTTTAACAGAATCATTCAATTTTTCGGTATGTTTGGCATTATTATGAATGATATATGAACTGCATTTAGACAACAACAAATATTGAATAACTCAATTGAAAGAATTGTTATATTTTTTATAATTTTGGGAATATTGTACACCTTCTCATCACCTTTTTTGTGATTATAAGTGATTATTTTTTAAATAAAATACACGGAAAAAGCCTGAGTGTTTTTTCACTTACTCATGAGATGTACTGCTTCTGGAGATTACAGGTGGGTGCAGGTCGACTGTACCTTGCACGGGGTGACTAGGATGAGTATTGGGTGGTCACAATGGCAGGTGAGTACGGACAAGACTTGGTTCTGTGACCTGTGAATACGAACTCTCAGTTGTGACCTCGATTGGTGTTCGTGTACTGGACAGCAGGTTTTGTGGGCTCACTATTGACCCAAAGTTCATCCCCTCTACTGTCAATGCTGGTGTGATGTCGGAGAAAGAAAGGATTGGCTACTGTGATATCAAGATGCTGTGCTCCGTATGTTTAACAAAGAAAGGAGGGGCTACTGCGATATCAAGATGCTGTGCTCCGTTGGTTTGACAAAGAAAGGAGGGGCTACTGCGATATCAAGATGCTGTGCTCTGTTGGTTTGACAAGGAAAGGAGGGGCTACTGTGATATCAAGATGCTGTGCTCCGTTGGTTTGACAAGGAAAGGAGGGGCTCCTGTGATATCTAGATGCTGTGCTCCGTTGGTTTGACAAAGAAAGGATTGGCTACTGTGATGTCTAAATGCTGTGCTCTGTTGGTTTGACAAAGAAAGGATTGGCTACTGTGATATATAGATGCTGTGCTCCATTGGTTTGACAAAGAAAGGATTGGCTACTGTGATATTTAGATGCTGTGCTCCGTTGGTTTGACAAAGAAAGGAGGGGCTACTGCGATATCAAGATGCTGTGCTCCATTGGTTTGACAAAGAAAGGATTGGCTGCTGTGATATCTAGATGCTGTGCTCCGTTGGTTTGACAAAGAAAGGAGGGGCTACTGTGATATCAAGATGCTGTGCTCCGTTGGTTTGACAAGGAAAGGAGGGGCTACTGTGATATCAAGATGGTGTGCTCCATTGGCTTGACAAAGAAACGAGGGGTTACTGTGATATCTAGATGCTGTGCTCCGTTGGTTTGACAAGGAAAGGAGGGGCTACTGTGATATCAAGATGCTGTGCTCCGTTGGTTTGACAAAGAAAGGAAGGATGACTGTGATATCTAGATGCTGTGCTCCGTTGGTTTGACAAATAAAGGATTGGCTGCTGTGATATCTAGATGCTGTGCTCCGTTGGTTTGACAAAGAAAGGATTGGCTACTGTGATATCTAGATGCTGTGCTCCGTTGGTTTGACAAAGAAAGGAGGGGTTACAGTGATATCTAGATGCTGTGCTCCGTTGGTTTGACAAAGAAAGGATTGGCTGCTGTGATATCAATATGCTGTGCTCCGTTGGTTTGACAAAGAAAGGAGTGGATACTGTGATATCTAGATGCTGTGCTCTGTTGGTTTGACAAAGAAAGGAGGGGTTACTGTGATATCTAGATGCTGTGCTCCGTTGGTTTGACAAAGAAAGGATTGGCTGCTGTGATATCTAGATGCTGTGCTCCGTTGGTTTGACAAAGAAAGGATTGACTACTGTGATATCTAGATGCTGTGCTCTGTTGGTTTGACAAAGAAAGGAGGGGTTACTGTGATATCTAGATGCTGTGCTCCGTTGGTTTGACAAAGAAAGGATTGGCTGCTGTGATATCTAGATGCTGTGCTCCGTTGGTTTGACAAAGAAAGGATTGGCTACTGTGATATCTAGATGCTGTGCTCTGTTGGTTTGACAAAGGAAGGAGGGGTTACTGTGATATCTAGATGCTGTGCTCCGTTGGTTTGACAAAGAAAGGATTGGCTGCTGTGATGTCTAGATGCTGTTCTCCGTTGGTTTGACAAAGAAAGGATTGGCTACTGTGATATGTAGATGCTGTGCTCCGTTGGTTTGACAAAGAAAGGAGGGGCTACTGTGATATCTAGATGCTGTGCTCCGTTGGTTTGACAAAGAAAGGATTGGCTGCTGTGATGTCTAGATGCTGTGCTCTGTTGGTTTGACAAAGAAAGGATTGGCTACTGTAGTCGACGGTGGGCCGAAAGTTGGCCAATGATGTAGTCGACGGTGGGCCGATGATGTAGCCGAGTGTGGGCAGCGGTGGGCTGATGATGTAGTCGACGGTGAGCAAACGTTGAGCCGATGATGTAGTCGACGGTGAGCTGACGGTGGGCCGATGATGTAGTCGACCGTGAGCCGATGATGTAGTCGACAATAGGCAGATGATGTAGCCGACGGTGAGCAAATGATGTAGCCGATGGTGAGCCAATGATGTAGTCCACCGTTGGCCAATGATGTAGTCGACGGTGGGCCTACGGTGAGCCAATGATGTAGCCGATGGTTAGCCAATGATGTAGTCCACCGTTGGCCAATGATGTAGTCGACGGTGGGCCTACGGTGGGCCTACGGTGGGCCGATGATGTAGTGGACGGTGGGCCGATGACGTAGTCGACAGTAGGCAGATGATGTAGCCGACGGTGAGCCAATGATGTAGCCGATGGTTAGCCAATGATGTAGTCCACCGTTGGCCAATGATGTAGTCGACGGTGGGCCTACGGTGGGCCGATGATGTAGTGGACGGTGGGCCGATGACGTAGTCGACAGTAGGCAGATGATGTAGCCGACGGTGAGCCAATGATGAAGCCGATGGTTAGCCAATGTTGTAGTCCACCGTTGGCCAATGATGTAGCCGACGGTGGGCCGATGATGTAGTCGACGGTGAGATGACGGTGAGCCGATGATGTAGCCGACGGTGAGCCAATGATGAAGCCGATGGTGAGCCAATGATGTAGTCCACCGTTGGCCAATGATGTAGCCGACGGTGGGCCGATGATGTAGTCGACGGTGAGATGACGGTGAGCCGATGATGTAGCCGACGGTGGGCCAATGATGTAGTCGACGGTGGGCCGATGATGTAGCCGACGGTGGGCCGATGATGTAGTCGACAGTGGGCCGATGATGTAGTCGACGGTGAGATGACGGTGAGCCGATGATGTAGCCGACGGTGGGCCGATGATGTAGTCGACAGTGGGCAGATGATTTAGTCGACAGTGGGCCGACGGTGGGCCGATGATGTAGCCGACGGTGGGCCGATGATGTGGCCGACGGTGGGCCGATGATTTAGTCGACAGTGGGCCGATGATGTAGCCGACGGTGGGCCGATGATTTAGTCGACAGTGGGCCGACGGTGGGCCGATGATGTAGCCGTCGGTTGGCCGATGATGTAGTCGATGGTGAGCCAATGATGTGGCCGACGGTGGGCCGATGATGTAGTCGACGGTGAGACATTGTTGCATCTGACATTGTGATATTCCAGAATATCAATAAGTAAACTAAATCTCTACAGATTTGTTTTGGTTTTGTTTCCAAAAAAAATGGGTCCATTTTCTCCCAAGTTTTCGGGTATATCGCAGAAAATCTTCTGTACGTTTATTTTTCAATATAATCTCCATTCACCTCAATACATTTATTCCATTTGTCCTTCAAGCTTTTAATACCACTTTTATAGAAATCCGCAGATTGGCCTTCTAACCACGCCTCTGTAGCAGCCTTTGTGTCCTCGTCATCCTGGAAGCGTTTTCCACGTAGGGCAGATTTCATTTCCCGGAACAGGAAATAGTCACTGGGGGCTAAGTCTGAGCTGTACAATCAAATAACCCACCCTACAGTCCAGACTAAGCCCCCAGTGAAGGACAAATGGAATAAGTGTAGCCGATGGTGAGCCAATGATGTAGTCCACCGTTGGCCAATGATGTAGTCGACGGTGGGCTTACGGTTGGCCGATGATGTAGCCGATGGTGAGCCAATGATGTAGTCCACCGTTGGCCAATGATGTAGTCGACGGTGGGCTTACGGTGGGCCGATGATGTAGTGGACGGTGGGCCGATGATGTAGTCGACAGTAGGCAGATGATGTAGCCGACGGTGAGCCAATGATGTAGCCGATGGTTAGCCAATGATGTAGTCCACCGTTGGCCAATGATGTAGTCGACGGTGGGCCTACGGTGGGCCGATGATGTAGTGGACGGTGGGCCGATGATGTAGTGGACGGTGGGCCGATGATGTAGTCGACAGTAGGCAGATGATGTAGCCGACGGTGAGCCAATGATGTAGCCGATGGTTAGCCAATGATTTAGTCCACCGTTGGCCAATGATGTAGTCGACGGTGGGCCGATGATGTAGTGGACGGTGGGCCGATGATGTAGTCGACGGTGGGCCGATGATGTAGTCGACGGTGAGATGACGGTGAGCCGATGATGTAGCCGACGGTGGGCCGATGATGTAGTCGACAGTGGGCCGATGATGTAGTGGACGGTAGGCCGATGATGTAGCCGACGGTGGGCCGATGATGTAGTCGACGGTGAGATGATGGTGAGCCGATGATGTAGCCGACGGTGGGCCGATGATGTAGTCGACAGTGGGCCGATGATTTAGTCGACGGTGGGCCGATGATGTAGCCGACGGTGGGCCGATGATTTGGCCGACGGTGGGCCGATGATTTATTCGACAGTGGTCAGTTTTGGTACTCTTGAGTGGAAATGATGAGCGAAATCCGGGTCCCCGACACACACGACAGAGTCGACCATCTCTCTCCACGCCAGGAGTCTAGGTAGAGAGAGACACACAACAGCACATGTAGCATGAAGGTGAAGACACTATATAGGTTGGTGCAATACTGATAAATATACAGAGAGACCTGAGGTCTTGCACAGTAAGTTCGACAACTTTGAAAAAACTCTAAACGCACTGAAATCAGAACAGGATAACATGTAGACAGTAGTCGATAAACTTGAAGAAGAAAATAATATGCTAATGAACAGACTCGAACAACTAGAATCCCGATCACGCGTAGAAAACTTAGTCTTCTTTGGAATAGGGGACGACGGTAGAAGAGAAAGCTGGAATGAAAGTGAGAAGAAAGTGAGAACTTTTATGGAAAAAGAGTTGAAAAGGTCTGAGATACATATTACCCAGTAAGCTGAGTCCACGTCCGATTATTGTAAAGTTCTCCTTTTACAAAGAAAAAAGATAGGTGCGTGAGTCAGCCAGAAACACACTGCGGCGAAATGGAAAGTTCCGTGTCTCTCCAGATTACACATAGACTGTGAGTTAGTGAGTATGGTTATACGCCGCTTTTAGCAATATTCCCGCAATATCGCGGCGGGGTACACCAGAAATGGGCTTCACACGACGCATATCTTCACAAACCGTACGTCGTCGCCTCAGATGTGCAGGGATTGTCGCCAGAAGACCCGTCAGACGTCCCATTTTGACAGGAAACCACCGTCAAGCACGTCTACAGTGGTGCAGACAGCGTCTACGCTGGACGGCCATGCAGTGGGGACAAGTTCTATTCACTGACGAGTCTCGTTTTCACCTCAGCCACACCGATGGACGGATTCGAGTGTACCGACGTCGGGGTGAACGTTACGTCAATCATTGTGTCATTGAAGAAGATCGGTTGGGGGGCGGCAGCGTTATGGTATGGGGTGGGATTACAGCAAGACAGAGGACCCGTTTGATCGTGGTAGAGAGAATTCTCAATTGACAGCACTACCGCGACGAGATCATCGGCCCTGTGGTTCTACCGTTTTTGCGTCGTCATGGCCCAGGCATTACCTTTCAACATGACAACGCTTTATATTGCTCGACTTGTTCAGGATTCTCTTCAACAAAACAACGTGAATGTCATCCCTGGCCGTATCGCTCCCCTGATCTCTCACCAATCGAGCACATGTGGGATGAGATGGATCGGCGCCTTCGACGTCAACCACGTGTTCCACAGGTTCACTCTCAGTCTGCCTACATCTCAGTCTGCCTACACTGTAAATTAAAGTGTAGGCACAATGAGAACACCCCTATTTCAATAATAACAGTGTCCAGGCTGTTAGACAAACCAAAAAGAATGTGTAATATTTAATGTTATTTAATAGCAAAAACTTTGTGTTGAGAAATTGGGCCCAGATCTGTCAATAGTTCACATCGTCATCTTAGTTCACAGTTCACATCTTCAGTTTCAACAAGTGGCTGACAGCATCTAAGAAGTTCATTGAGGTCATCTGTCCTTGCACAAGCTTCACTTTCAGTGTCTGAAGACGCGAGTCCAAGTCTCTGTATACTCTCCTTCGGGGAGCTTGCTGGCCGCCGTGTTGAAGTTGAGCTCTTCGAATATTGTCGATCTTCTCAAATTCCTTCAATTTGGATTGACCTTTCCTAGGCTTCCATTCAGGCGTGAATGCCATCCTTCGAGGTGATTGTTAGTTCTCGGCCCTGTATTGTTGTGTTGGTTCCACATTCGAATCTGAAAATGGCTTCATCCTCCACCCATGTAGATGTCACGTAGTCAGTGAAGTTGTCCAAAAGAGGAATGTCCGGCCTATCTTCCAGGATCTCCAGCCATGCATCTTGAACTGTGTCTGGTGGCAGGAGGGGAAGGCAGGCAGATCGTCTCATGATTCTCGGGATTCTGCATCCTCTCTGTAGAGTCTCTGTATATTACTCATGAGGCGTAAGGTTGTGTCGTCTTCAAAAACTTCGTGGTTGTGAGGGGATGAATTTCGAACAAATTGACCAACTGTGCTAATTTTGCCAAGACAGTTAGCCAAGACACACTTCCAGTGAGTTGCAGTCTGTCGGCGGTTGTTCAGGTGATACCTGAAGCGGGGCGGTCGGGTAGCCTAGTGGTTAAAGCGTTTGCTCGTCACGCCGAAGACCCGGGTTCGATTCCCGACATGGGTACAATGTGTGAAGCCCATTTCTGGTGTCCCCCGCCGTGATATTGCTGGAATATTGCTAAAAACGGCGTAAAACCATACTCACTCACTGATACCTGAAGCCTCCAAACAAGACTTGCTGACCTCCAGCCTGAGAAGTGATGAACTCAACTTTCTGTAACGCAGCCATCATAACACTGTAACCAAAGTGCCTTTTATACTACTTCAGGGTTTTTAGAATAAAATACTCCTTGAAATAAAGTAATAGGTTAACAATGTGAGTAAAAGTGTGAATAGGATTAACTAATAAAAACAAATAAAGTAGATAAGTAAGTGTTTGATCCCTGAGTTAATTGGTTAATCCTTAACTGAGAAGACATTGAAACTCAATAAAGTATTTTGGTAACTAACCAAAACAAACAAAGAAACATTGGCATGTCTCACATTAACCTTTAAATTATTTTGTGTCTGAAAAGCCGTGCGGCCGATGTTTTTTTTAATCTACTGTTGATACCACATGTATGTAAAGCAACATCTTATTCTAAACTGTGAAATTGTAGGCAATTTCATTTATAAAGCAACATCTTCCTTTTCTCTCGCTGTTACATTGTGGACCATTCCACTTTTCACCAGGTAAGATAGCATTTCATTACTCTCAGTCTGCCTACACTAATTACTAATTTATACTCAGTCTGCCGACACTAATTACTAATTTATACTCAGTCTGCCTACACTAATTACTAATTTATACTCAGTCTGCCGACACTAATTACTAATTTATACTCAGTCTGCCTACAAAAAAGGTGTAGGCAGATTGAGATGTAGGCAGACTGAGAAGTTACCGTTCCACAGACACTCCAGGAACTTCGAAACATGATCCAGCAGATATGAACAGATATCCCACAGGACTGGTCCATTCCATGAGACGAAGATGTGTTGCTTGCATCGCAACCAAAGGTGGACACACACGCTACTGATATGTAAATTGACATTTTGGCATGTTCATGTTTTTTATGAAATCACGCATTTTCTGGAGTCAGTATTGCAAATTAAACCATTTGAAGACTTACAGGAGTCTTTTATCTGTTGCAAACCGAAATTGTTTCAGATTTGGTAAAAAACAGAACTTTGCATTAAATCTTATTCAATGTCACAGGAACTTTTGTTGTTCAGTATATTTAAGAAAGGTCACTTTTCAGAGAACTTAAAAACGAACATTGCAAGGAATTAATAATCACTATTCACAAATTAGATTAAAACTTATTTTTATGAATAAAACTTGATTTTTCAGTGCACATAACATTATCATGTCATGATATTGGTACACACATGTATGTGTTCTTATTAACACAGACACCTCTATAAGTGTTTTTGCACAACATTATTACTTACAATACAAATATTGACAAAAATTCACAACAATTAACACATTGCTAACATCTAGCCGAGAGCCGCGATGGGGTCATACAGTAAAGACATGAAGACACATCACGGCCGAAAACACAGCCCCTATAAATCCTATTCAGACTGTCGTGGCCGATTACCCTCGTATTTTCCCGTGGGTTTGTGACTGAAAAGTTGATATCGGTGGACTCCCAGATAATTTCCCCATCTATACACGTGCTTGTCTGGTTAAGTTCATGTTTTGACGTTGGCGAGCTGACATAGTATGTCCTATGTTGACATGGTATGCGCATTCGCTAGATTTCTCTTGTCAGTTTCTGGATGGGTTTTCAACAAGCTGTACTCCCTGCTAGCGGAATACACGCAGTTTTTGAGCGCTTTCACGGAGGATACATCCAGCGGTGTGTAAAACGTAGGTTATTTCCTAATTTCATTGTCACATGTATTGTATGCATTTTTGTCGTAATTTCTAATGGATTGATATATGAAGCGGTTTTAGAGGTACGGAATAATATATATATAAAAGCGAAAATGCGGTGGAAATACTTTTCCTTATTTTCATTTTAGTTTCTGACATTTTCGCTTTTGTTTTTGACATTTTTATTTTAGTTTTTGACTTTTTCGCTTCACATTTCAGCGATTATATAGCTACTTGAAAGTACATTTTTCATGTTTTCGGCTGTTTTTATACATGATTTAGGACAAATTGTGTTAATTTGCAAAAGGTTACGATAAAGGTAAGTGAAATATCAAAATATTGAAAAACAGATTCCATGTCCCTTTTTTAAAAAAGTAAAGTCAAAACGGCCACAAAAAAGTCATAACGGCCACACAAAAAATAAAGAAGAAAAGTATTGTGTCACATTAATTGTATTATAGACATTGTATAACAGTTCTTATCATGTACCATGTGCACTCAGTTCTTAATTCAGCGCTAACTCAGTACAACACAAGTGATTTCACAATCCTACATCACATATTAAACCCTTGGTCAATGGCTTGAAGCGCGTATGTTCAGCAGGTGGTGGCGCTACGATCGAACCCAGAAATTCCATCCTAGTTCGACAAGGGTGGAAACTGGATTTTTACAGTCAGTTAACATCCTTGCCTCCGGAAGATGAGGACGTCTTGCCAACACTGCAACTGCTTTGACTAGCATCAACTTGTTAGCCCCATACCCATCAATGCGTGAAACATTGTATTTGCTTCTCTGCAAGCCTCTGCTACTCAATCTGCCGGTTTTAGATTCCTGTTGACCTTGATCCCCAAGTAAGTAGTGCTAAGTAAGTGTTATCGTCTTACCTGATATACACCATTACACATCTGGAAGCGGGTGGATATTGATCCATATGTGATGATTTTACATTTGGAAGGGTTTATCGAATATCTCCATTTTCTGGTATACATTGTCACAATGTCAGTCCTTGAAGACTATTCGGTGAGAGTGAGAGCAGTTAGATCAGCTAAGGTTGGGTTTCCAAGGTTGATGTTTGTAATGTTGATTCAAAGGTTTGAGGAGTGAGTGAGTGAGTTAGAAATTCATCTATGAATATACTAGACCCCCATTTTCATAAGATCTGAAAAATAAACGGTGTGCAATAGCATTAGGCTCGCGAGGCACTAGGTTTACCTCAGACTATAATATTACTCAGAGATGTTAAATTTCTTGTATGATGGTGTAAATTAAAAAGCAAATATTTAACCTATTTGAAAAAGAGACACTTCTACCCAGATACCACAACTTCGTCGGTGGCTATAAAGCCGGCACATACATATTGCCCGCGGCCCGTTCACGGCCCGACAGCGTCATGTCACATCCAAGCAAAACACATAAACACGTCGTCGGATCGTAGGTTTTTAATTAGGGGGGGGGGGGGGGGGGGGGGGGGAGAGTAGGCATCACACAGACATTGTTAGTATTCAGATAATGGTGAACAATTTGCAAGTAGTATGAAAAAATAGATAGCCTAAGACCTAATTGTGATTAAAAACATAATGATTTTTTTCTTGACAGGCATATCAGGGTTAATAAAAATCATCTGTTCCCTTGGGTCATATCGCGTCACGAGAAAGCACAGTATTGTTTCCGTCATCCGGACAGTATTGTTGACGTCAATGACAACTTATGACGTGAGGTCGGAATGACGTCACACTAGAAACGACGTCATAGCTGAAGATTGACGACGTCATTGAACAAATTGTGGTTCCGCTGCTGTTGCGACTTGCTGTCCTTATAGTTAAACACTAAAATTCTTCTCCTTATGTAGACATCTTCTTCGGTAATAAATAGAACATAATATTTGTGTTCATGTCATACTATGTTTACGACACTGGGGAAATACCTGAATTTAGACACTCGTGTCGTAAACATAGTATGACATGAACACGAATATAATATCCTCTATACACTACACAACTTTTGATAGGGATAATCAGATATGTCATTGTATGTAAATATACACTTGACACGTGAGTGAGTGAGTTTGGCTCAACGCCGCTTTGAACAGTATTCCAGTTATATCGCGGCGTGTCAGCTTAATGTGGGAGGAAAGCCCGGAGTGATGCAGGTCTCGGACGTTTACCACTTCGGTGAAACCCACGAGCACGGGTATGGTGCTGACAAACCTAGAAACATAATCGGGGCGAACCGGGATTCGAACCCACAATCATAGGTTTCTAGCGTGCCCATGGGACGCAACTCTGCACAGCGAATCGCGGCGCCTTAGACGACTGGCCCCCACTTGACACGTGAGAATCAGTTTTGTGTATAATGGAAAATTAAGAATATCCCTACCTAGAGTGGAGTTGTATGTATCAGGAGAAATTGTGTATGGAATTTCAATAACAGCTATATTTTGAGTAGATGCTCCTACTTTGTTGCAGGTAGATCACAATGGTAGATGCTTTCTCCCTGGTTATCGGTTCGGTTGTCGTCGTGTGCGTCATACAACTACTTCGACTGATCGTCGCAGACTGTGACCTAGTGCTGCAGTGGGCCACGAAATTTGGAAAATCTCCAAGTATGCGTTTCAAAAGTTTCAAATATAATATTTTTGTCTGGACAGATGTATTCAAATGTGACTGCCGACAGGATTGGCGAAGCATAAGAACAGGATAAAAGATTTTTAAGTTGTCATGGAAATTATTTAACTAGCCTCGCGTGAAGATCCGTCTTCAGCAACCCATGCTTGCCGTAAAAGGCAACTATGCTTGTCGTAAGAGGCGACTAACGGGATCGGGTGGTCATGCTCGCTGACTTGGTTGATGCATGTCATCGATCGATGCTCAAGATATCAAACACTGGATTGTCTGGTCCAGACTCGATTATTTACAGACCGCCGTCATATAGCTGGAATATTTCTGAGTGCGGCGTTAAACAAACAACAAACTGGCTGATCATACCAAACGAAATTATAAGATGGTAATTGTTGTTTCCCTGCCTGGCGCTCGGCAATACAGGGTTAAAACAAGGACTGATTGAGCTGTATGTGTCTGAATGGGGTATCACTGTTAAGCTGCGTCATGGCATCTCGGTGGGCAAGCTCTATAAACTGTCATAAATCTGGTCTAGTACGTCTCACTGTGTAGAATACTTTAAAAATTATGTGTTGGCCGATGTTAGAGCTGTAAAAAATGTACTTTTTCTCCATTAATTTGCCATAATGTTTCATTTATCCATACACCAGAATGTCTGAAAGGTAAAGTGATATGGGTGACTGGGGCCTCCACTGGTATCGGGGAGTCCCTTGTGTACGAGCTGGCATCTGCCGGATGTCGTCTGGTGCTGTCTGCCCGTCGAGAAGAGGAGCTGCACCGAGTCAAGAAGCAATGTCTCAGTACGTCCCAGTAGCCTGTCTCAGTACGTCCCAGTAGCCTTGGAACTAGTCACGGATGTCTCAGTACGTCCCAGTAACCTTGGAACTAGTCACTGATGTCTCAGTACGTCCCAGTAACCTTGGAACTGGTCACTGATGTCTCAGTACGTCCCAGTAACCTTGGAACTGGTCACTGATGTCTTACTAACGGGTGGTCAGGCTCGCTGACTTGGTTGATGCATGTCGTCGATCCCAATTTCGAGGTACGATGCTCATGTTGTCAATCACTGGATTGTCTGATCCAGACTCGATTATTTACAGACCGCCGTCATATAGCTGGGATATTGCTGAGTGCGGCGTTAAACAACAAACAAACAAACAAACACTGTTTTAGCACCTCAGTGTAGCCTTGGAGATAGTATGTTTTCAGACAATTATCACTGACTTTCTCTCAGTATCTTTCTATTTTATGTGTGTTCCTGACTTCTGATGTGTGTTTCTGCCCTACTGATGTGTTTTCCTGCTCTTCTGATGTGTGTTTCTAAAGTACTGTCGAAATTGCTAGAAAACTGCTTTTCTGGCTTCATGTAATAAATACGAGTCATAGGGCTATAAAAACAGCATATATCAAAATAACGCAAATTGACCTAATCTAGCCTGTCCTAACTGACATTGTGATTACCCTTAAACTGTACTTTTACAGGTAAAATGATAAACTTAGAAAATATTCGTGTGTTGTATGAAAGTATGAAATGGCCTATAACCTGAGGTAATTACCGGACACCTGTCCCGAGGTGATGACCTCACACAGGCCCGTGCATTCTCCCAGGTGCAATTGTCACCGAGTTGGGGTGGTCTTAAAATATTGCTGTTATTGTACTTAATTGACATGCGTTGATGGGGTAGCAATTTAGGATATGTACTGCATTATATTTGCTTGCAATCATGATGGACTAGTTAAGAGCTGTGAAACGGGATGAGTATTGGAAGGTTGCGGTTTTGGAATCCAGAAGTATTTGTTGTTCCACAGATGATTTCTTGAGATGCATTTATCTCCACTGATGACGTATATGAATCTGTACTTTTGAATGTTGTGTTATGTCTTGCTACGAGCCCGTTACACTTAGCCAAGATGGGAACAATAAGGTTGAGCTCACAATGTCTGACTGGCGTACGTAAGACAACGTGACCGTGTTGTGCCGCCAGCACATATGTCTTGTACTTTACTGGTTTCTTATTCAGCCGAATTTTCTCCATGAGTTGAACTTTCGTTTTAGATGGTCTGAAGTTGACCAATGTCATATATTCCTGTATGGTCGCCTTCAGACTACTCATGGTTTGGGCGACAGTATCTGATTCCCGGACGTTATATTAACTGGCGTTATTTATGACAATAACGCTGGCGTTGTTTAAAATGGGCAATAGCTGAAGTTCCAACCAGTCTATGAACACATCACCTCCTATAATTACCTTATGAAAATCACCAGCTCATATCCATCAATAAGCCCTATATCATGGGTTGCAGCGTGCAAAACAATGACACGATTACTTTACCTGATGGTCTATGGGTGCTTCTTGTCCATCTGCCGATAGCCACATGTAGTCAGTGGAATGATTCATCAAGGTAAATTATCTAGACGCCCTGACTGTGATAGTTATGAATGGTTCGGAGATAATGTGACCTCATAGACAGGATGGAATATTTTCCCCTGTAAAGTGCTCGGTCATCGCCACGCGCAGTGTATTGAAATCCCATCTCTTGGAGAACAATAGTGCAGTCCTGGAAACATTAATTGTATCTTTAATTTCCTCCCAAATTCTACTGCAAGTCAGGGTTACCTTCTCCTCCTATAGCTTGTACACTTTACGCCTGATCACCTTGTATCAAAGCTGTCTAATATCCTTTTACTTCCCAGTTTTCTTTTTGAGACCACCCCTATTTTGTTTTCTAATCATATAGTAGACTAGTAGACTTGATGGTATGAATTGAAAACCCAATAGCTTGGGCAGTTCGGTAATCCACCCTATCTAAATTAATAAATGGTTTCCCTCTATCTCTCAAAAGTGTAAAGAACTTGTATACATTTCCCAATACAGACTCCATATCGTGTACCGTGGTTATGGCTATGCAAGTGTAATGTAACATGCATCATGGGAGCAATGTTAACAAAACAAACAAACCCGCAGCATCATTTTGTCATTTTAAAAGATGCACAGCTAGAATATCTCAAAATGATTTTTGTGTGTGGATTGCATTATTATCATTATAACGGAGTCACGTGCGCATATTTCTATAGTCCGTTTCAGACTGTCATCATTAGACTAAGAATAAATGTGAACTTCCTGTTTTCGTTCGAATTTGTCTCCTGTAAACTTGTCGCTAGGACTCCTTGTGACTGAAATACTTCAAACCACAGGTAGGGCGATCGGTAGTTACTCGATATTTCAATAACAACAGTCTGTGAAAAATTGTATACTTTCTTAACAGGCAAAAAGCAGTTTTCTAGCATTTCCGACAGTACCTTTGTCTGTGTGTTTGTCTTCAGCGTGTGGGCCGCTTCAAGACGAAGACATCATGGTGGTGCCATTGGACATGGTCAAACAACACGAACATGCATGTGCTGTCGAGAAAGTTCTCAAGCATTTTAAACAGGTACTCCCTTGGTCTTGCTGCAGTCTCATTCGTCACCATTCGCCCCTTTCCGTAACCTGCAAGACTCGTCCCCCAATCGATGAATGTTCATTCGTGACCAACTCGTGTTATTCCGGGACAAGCCGAATAGCGACTCGTGCCCCGCTCATGTCCATTTTTGCGACCGGGTTCCGTCTCAGCGCAAGCGGGCATACCTAAAACAACTGTCAACTCGTTGCGTAATGGTTCACTTATATTCCCCATACATTATATATATTTCAGATGCAATTTAAAGCACATCGGGACATGCGGAATTATGCAGTATGATTGAACACATTTAACTGTGTCTTTGGTATATTTTTAGATGCAAGACATATGTAAAATCAAAAAATACTTCTGAGGGATTCTTTGACGACATAACATTCATCGATAGGGGAACGAGTCTTCTTGCAGGTTACGGAAGTGGCGAGTGGTGACGAATGGATGAATGTTATGTGCGAAAATACGACAAACCAATCAGAATGCGCGTATGATTTCAAGTTCTTCGTCAAAGAATCCCTCAGAAATATGTTTTTATTTTACATATGTCTTGCATCTAAAAATATACCAAAGACACAGTTAAATGTGTTCAATCATACTGCATAATTCCGGCTTGTCCCGGAATAACACGAGTTGGTCGCGAATGGCTGTAGTCTGTCTCCAATATTCCAGGTCAAAAGGATACTTTAGCTGGGCTTCAAGAAATCAGTTACTTAATAGTCCTTTCAAGCAGGACTGCTTTCAGGTTTTGCTGGTTTTAACCGCCATTTTTCTGATATCTACAATGCAAAGATTATTGGTATTAGAGATATATCTTCCTCCAAAGGGGGCACGGGTGGCCCACTCGCTGTGCAGAGTTGCGTCCCTTGGGCTCGCTAGAAACCTATATTGTGGGTGCGAACCACTCTAGGTAGGGATATTCTTTATTTTCCATTATACACAGAACTGATTCTCATGTGTCAAGTGGGGGCCAGTCGTCTAAGGCGCCGCGATTCACTGTGCAGAGTTGCATCCCTTGGGCGCGCCAGAAACCTATGATTGTTGGTTCGAATCCCGGTTCGCCCTATTGTGTTTCTAGGTTTGTCAGCACCATACCCATGCTCGTGGGTTTTACCGAAGTGGTAAACGTCTGAGACCTGCATCACTCCGTGTGCTTTCCTCCCACATTAAGCTGACAGGCCACGATATAACTGGAATACTGTTAAAAGCAGCGTTAAACCCAACTCACTTTTCTTCCAAATGGCCTTTGGGAATTCTTTTGGCACATGTCATGAAGAGGTCAAAGGTAAAGGTCATGACATAAAATGTATGTCACTTCACTTTCTCGGAAACTGTTCATGCGTGTATCATTAAACTCGATCTCTAGGCCTCTAAGATGGGACCATGCTTTGAAAGGATTTTGGTTAACCTTCTGTCTGCTGAATTGTTTTCACACTTCTTACCCATGCCTGCTTCATTAGTTTTAGCATAAGGCGCTGTAAAGACGGTGGGTGATTTCAAGCGGTCGGCGCTTCATTAAACAAGGGACATTTGAACCAATATCTTGCAAATCAATACCTGATAGAAAATTACACATTGTCATATAAAAATGCCCTGACGTTTTCAATCATACCAAGGTTAAGACCAAAGCAAACATAAAATTTGTAAATTTTCTTGAACTTACCTCAATTACGTTATTGAAGGTGGTTTGCTTTTCATGCTAAGAACCTTTTTAAATCGTTACATTTGTGCAGATTGATTTCAATAATCATACCTTCGATATCTTAATTTTAACTGAGTATAAATTCGATTTTGTATCGGCAAATAACAGAGCGATGGTAAATTATGAACCATTTTAGTAAATTTATTATCCAAACGTTAAACAGAAAAACAACTTAATTTATCATAACTTATTGCTATTTCAATTTCAACAGAGTTTACATTGCCTTCATAAATATGCCTTGTCATTTTCCGTTTAATATGACGAGAGAAAAACGAAAATAAAGATCGTGAATTCTGACATCAATATTTCAGCAAGTGCAAAAGATAATCGGATTTGATATCACAGACACGGGTTGTCTGCTCATAATCTTTCGTAACAAAACATTTACAGTAAATTTTGAAATATTTCTCCTGTCACCTAAAGAATAAACACAAATCAATACGTAGTATCAGTAATCACCACAAATATGAAATAATAATGTGACTTTGGCGATATAATTGGCGTATTGTTTCATCCGTTTGACCTTGCATGCTCCCGTGACCCGGAAACCATAGACGATATATCAACATGCCACATGCAAGTTTCTCGGTATCTTTTATTTGAACTTTTGTTGACATTTAAGGATTACCATTCGATGTTACGTTGAATATAATTATAAATGTATATGATTCATGTTTCTGCGATGTACATTATTTGTTTTGTTTTCGCTATAATAATTGTGTCCCACGCTATACGTCTATGGATATCGTCGATCGGCAATGATCACGCTCCACAACAGGTGCGCGAAATTTGGCGTGACGAAACGTAATTCAAAATAATATTTATGCGTTGCTGAATATGATAGGATATACGCATGTGCACACATATAAAAATAAAATACTACATACATATTTCATATTTTCAGTGTTATTTTCATATTAAATTTGGGATAGTTTTCCTTTTACATTTTTAGATTCTGGCATGATTTGAGAACAATTTAACAAAGTTTTGAAATTTAATTCATAAATATGAGTGAGTGAGTATGGTTTAACGCTGCTTTTAGCAATATTCAAGCAATTTCACGGCGGGGGACACCAGAAATGGGCTTCACACATTGTACCTATGTCGGGAATAGAACCCGGGTCTTCGGCGTGACGAGCGTACGCTTCAACCACTAGGCTACCCGACCGCCCCTTCAAACTAGAAGTATTATTATTATTATTGTAGTAGCAGTAGCAGCAGCAGTAGTAGTAGTATTATTAATAATAATAGGCCTATTTATATAGTGCTCTATCCACATCACAGGGGCATGCTCAAGGCGCTGGGGGCATGGGTGGCCCAGTCGTCTAAGGCGTCGCGAAACGCTGTGCAGAGTTGCGTCCCTTGGGAACGCCAGAAACCTATGATTGTGGGTTCGAATCCCGGTTCGCCCCAATTATGTTTCTAGGTTTGTCAGCACCATACCCGTGCTCGTGGGTTTCATCGAAGTGGTAAATGTCTGAGACCTGCATCACTTCGGGCTTTCCTTCCACATTAAGCTGACACGCCGTGATATAACTGGAATACTGTTAAAAGCGGCGTTAAACCCAACTCACTCACTCACTCACTCAAAGCGCTCCGCTATTATTTCCCTCGTCAATGGATCATTGTGCACACAACCAGCATCCTCAGCTCCCTGGGGAGTATACAACCCAAGCTGCCTGTGAGGTACCCATTCACTGCTGGGTGAACAGAGGCACATTTCGAACAAAATGCCCAAGGTGACACCACAAATCTTTGAGGACATGACCATTTGAGGGGTGCTTCTGTTTTTGCACATTTTATCATGGCCTTATCTGTACGCTGACAGTTCAAAGAATTTGTGATTATTGATTTAACTTTATGAATAGTTAGAAGTAGTGATGGTATCAGGACAAAACATGTAAAACTCAAGAAGGAACAAAAAAAAAAAATATCAACCAATGTGACTTCTTCTAACATAGAAACAAGTCGGATGAGGATGTAATTTACTCTTCAGATAGACATTCTTGTGAACAACGCCGGTAGGTCACAGCGGGCTGACTGGGTGAATACATCCATCGATGTTGATCGTGAGATGCTGGAGACCAACGTCCTGGGAACCTTATCGCTGACTAAAGCTGTCCTTCCAGACATGATAGATCGGAGAGACGGTCACATCGTGGTCGTGAGTAGTGTTGGTGGGAAAGTAGGTATGTTGAGTTTACAGAGAATTGAGTTCTGTGTTTCTGGAGGTATATTATATTATAGATTTGAGTTATGCACGTGAATTTTTAAAGTGTTCACACCGGTTTTATTTTTTAACTCCGGAAACACAAAAACACATTATGGTAATATTTTATAAATATATGCATTGACAATAGTAACTTCACAGACTGCTTTTTTTTATCATTAACACACAAATAACTGAAGACAACAGCATGAAGTCAGTGACATTGTTCAGCGCAAAAATGCAAAACAAACCACACCCATTATGTTATGAGTCAGGAAACGGCAGTCTGATACTTGTCATGATCTAATTTGTTTCGGCTGATAGAAACATTAACGCAAAAATAAATTGCATGGTCAGCCAACGAAAATGCTTGCAATGTATGTATAGGGAATTGGTTAAGTTTAAGAATTGACCAATATGTTTTTAGTAAATCTGTGTCGTTCACGACAATATTGAAGTCAGTTATTTTAAATAATTATATAATTCAATTTAGTTTTTACTTATCTTGCATTACTCCTTACTGCACATTACTGCTTGTTCTTGACAGAGAAAAGAGCTGTGTGAAGGTCTTGCTTTAAGTTGTTATAAACAGCTGAGAGGATAACCCTATCGCGCACCTCCCACGTGACCAGAGGAAGTGACATCACGGATCATCACATTACTCTTGGCAATTGTACATCTCCATGCCTCCAGTCTTCTCGATATAAAGACTGTCTCCGGCTTTCCCCGCAGATTTCAGCTGCCGGTGGGAGCGCATACAATCGCACTTGATCCCAGCTCCCCGCCAGCTACGCACGATGCGTCACCATAGGACTTGACGTACCGAGGAAGGCTCCAACTCCGCCCAATCCAGATGTTTCTGGCACCTCACATTCGGCGTCAGGATCCGTCGGTTTCCATCGTCCTCCGGGATCACCTCAAACCGCATCTTCGGTGGTGGACGGTGGAATCGGATGTCTTAGGCGGCGTCTCCTTGACATCACTTGCGACCCCATTACACCTATTCGTAGACGCCTCCCTTCAGTGATGGGGCGCACACCGAGAGGGACAGGTCGCTCGGGGCTGTAGTCTGTCGATCAGCGCCAGTAGCACATCAACAGCCTAGAACTGGAGGCGCTTACTCTGGCTATCTCTCATTGGAAGCATGCCTCAGACACGCCCGGCTCTCCATCTCGACGGACGACATAACCGTCGTCTGGTGGCTTCGGAACCATGGAACGACTGTTTATACCGCTTGGTGGATCCGCCACCTGTACTCATTCCCAGGGTCACCCAAAAGATCCTAAACGACGCAGAGCCTAGACTTTGGTCACGCTCTGATGCCTAGCGAGGATCTGGTTTGTCGACCTAAAAGAATTAGCTGACGCCGACCAGCTACCACTCCCAGACTGGCCAAACCTACTGATTCATCCCCACAGCAGGCAGCCACACCCGGTTACAGACAGGTTATGTCTTCACGTCTGGTCCATCTACAGAGGGCGTTAAAAACTAAGGGATACTCGCCCAGAGCAGCGAAGGCCGTCACGATGGCACATCGCCTGTCCACTAGAAGTCTATATGACGACAAGTGGCTTTCCTTAGAGAGCTCTTGCAGGGGAAAACACCTACTGCATCGCCTCAATTCCTGGCCAAGTTCCTGCTCCATCTTCGCCACAAGGGTCGGCTCAGGTCCAGTACCTTCATGACCTACCTTGTGGCGCCCAACTCTGTCCTGGTAATTCTGGAAGATCGACGCATGACGAAGTACAGGCCTTGCTCTGCTCATTCAGGCTGCAAGACCAGACGGCGAAGTTTATTTCACCAGCTTGGGACTTGAACATCGTTCTCACCATGCTGAGAGACGCGCCATTCGACACGACGTGGTTCTACCATCTGACAAAAAAGACGTTCTTCGACCTGGCGCTCGCTAAAGTAGCCCGTGTCAGTGATCTACACGCCCTGGGTGTCACGCGCGTCCACTTTGAGCATGGAGCGCACGGAGCGCACGGAGCGCACGGTGCCAGATTCCAGAACAGCCCGATAGTATTTCCTCGATTGTAGGCGCGGAAGACGAACAAGAGCTCCTCCTGTGCCTGGTGAGGGCGTTGCGTTGTTACATCCGTCGGTCCAAGGAATACCTTAGTCAACGCCGGTAACTTCATACCGGTATCAGCGACCCTGCGAGCGGAAGTCGGCCGCAACACGATCGCCATCTGGCTTCGAGCCATCATTATCCAAGCCTACGAGGCCGCGGGATTGGACACCCAAGCTCCAACAACCGCCATGAGATCCGGGCAGTCGCCTCCACAATGGCGCCACAAAGTAATTGTTCCATACGTGCCATCACGGATGGGTATTGTGTTCAATCGAAGTCACTACATGTAGTCGCCAGTCACTACATTCGAGTCGTTGCTTTGGAGGACGTGCAAATTTTGGTCCCTAAGTCGTGGCCCAACAGGGCGCCACTGACTTCGCCTCCAGCCCAGAGCCGGCACCTCGACCTCCCTGGCTTCCTTGAATAGGTTAATGATCCATGCATACGGCTCGCTACGTCAGTCTACAACTTGGTTATCATATATGACTGCGTCATATTTTTTATATATTTGTATACTTATCCTGCATTACCGAATTTAAAGAGACCCACTCCTAGCAGAGCTGCCTCCCCACGATGCCCTCTGATGTTCTGGACTTCAGAGTAATGTGATGATCTGTGACGTCACTTCCCCTGGTCACGTGGGAGCTGGGTGATAGGGTTGGCCTCAGCTGATTGGGCAGCTCTGCCACTCCCAGACTGACCGAACCTGCTGGTTCATCCACACAGCAGGCGCCCATATCCGGCACCAATCAAGTTTCATCTACACGTCTGGTCCATCTTCAAAGAGCACTATTGGCCAAGGGCGAAGGCCATCACACTGGCTCACCGTCTATCCACCAGGAGTCGGGGGCACGGCTGGCCATGTCGTCTAAGGCCCTGCGATTCGCTATGCAGAGTTGCGTCCCTTGGGCACGCTAGAAACCTATGATTGTGGGTTCGAATCCCCCGATTATGTTTCTAGGTTTGTCAGCACCATACCCGTGTTCGTGGGTTTCACCAAAGTGGTAAACGTCTGAGACCTGCATCACTCTGGGCTTTCCTCCCACATTAAGCTGACACGCCCTGATATAACTGGAATACTGTTAAAATCGGCGTTAAACCCAACTCACTCACTCACTCACTCACTCACTCACTTCAGTCATTACTGTATTGGGCGTTTCAGCACTTCAATTTGAAAGCCATGTCACCTGGTACATGGTTGCTTTGTTGACAAAGTGGAAGGTTGTTTCTGACGCTCTGACACAGTGATCGCTTGTCTCTACCTACGAGATGTCGCACTAGAAGTGCAAAGGACGCACAGCTTTGGCTTGTTGTTGGTTTGTTGTTTAACGCCGCACTCAGACATATTCCAGCTATATTACGGCGGTTTGTAAATAATCGAGTCTGGACCAGACAATCCAGTGATTGATATCATGAGCATCAATCCACACAAATGGGATTGAGCCTGACCACCCGATCCCGTTAGTCGCCTTTTACGACAAGCATAGTCACCTTTTCCGGCAAGCATGGGTTTCTGAAGGCCTATTCTACCCCGGAATCTTCACGGGTCTTTGGCCCTTTAGTGTTGGCCAAACAGGTCAAGGCTACAAGACGCCATTGAAAAGTCTTCGCCTTTCTAGAGTCGGCCTCTCGACCTCACTGGTGTGTACCACCCTTGACTAGGAAGCTATATGCTTCGCGGATGAGAGAAATTGGATGAAAAAGACCACATCTTAAGATGAATGCCCAACACCAAGTTCCGTTGGATACAGACTCCATTAAGGAGTAATGCAGGGTAAGTTGACAAATCTAGTAAAATCCATAGATATGTTTTATATTTGTATACTTATCCTGCATTACTGCATCTACATGGACCCACCCATCGCAGAGCTTCCTCCCTACGACGTCTACTGATGTTCCGGCTTCCAGTAGTAATGTGAAGACCATGACGTCATCACTTTCGTTGGTCACATGGGAGCTGTGTGATGCGGTTGTCCTCAAGGCTAGTTGAAAATACTTCTTCTACAGCAAGACTTCACACAGCTGTTCTTTCTGTCAAGAAAAAGTAGTAATATGCATTACGGGGTAATGCAGGATAAGTATACAAATATCTAAAACATCTACTGGAATTGCCAGCTTTATTAGATTAGAAGCCAGTGACCAATCAAAGCCGAGATTACAATACAAATATGCCACGGTTGTATGAAGCCATTCACTCTCCTACCCAGGGTTTCTTGCGGCCAGCCGAGTACCTAATGACATCGTCATATCTTCGCAGTCTTTTTATGTGTTTTTCATCTGTTTCATTTTGGACGAGTCTCCACATTTAGATTAACATACTTCATCAAATATTTAACTTTCGTTGAGAAGATGTCCTAAAACATAAAAAAACTATTTCCATTTGCGCGTTTTTCCTCCATGTGCTGTCATCAAAGCCCTGCGTAGAGCTAGCGATACGGTCACTTTGATTTGTAAAGCTATATTGTCATGCACCTCACTGTCGCAGTTGTAGTAGTATATCTATATAATTATGCAAAACAATATATAAACCATTAGGCTTGTCTGTTCCTATTTCAAAATTAGTGCCTTTGTTTACAAACAAGAGAAAAGACTGGTCCCGTTATAAGTCTACACCGATGCTGTCACTGGAACAGAAACGGGAAAAGGCGAACAGAGCCGAGTAAGCTCGGGGGTTATCGACTATTGTCATGTCCCTATATCACTGCTATGGTGGGAGGTGGGGGTCGGGGGTCGGGGGGTAGGGGTGGGGGTGGATGGATGTGTGTTCAAACTTTTAAGTAACCAAATAAATAGTTGTGTGCAATCAACCTGGGAAAAAGGGGCTCCCCACATAATAAAACAAACTCCTATTGCCTCCATGACCATAACACGAGATGTTAAGGAAAGTAACTGTGTTATATTGTTTATTAAGGTCAGGCTGTTTATATTTTGGAAATGGTAATAATTACGAATCGTGCGGTAGACTTTATGATGATGCAGGCTGTGCCTGAGAACCAAGACTATTATTTGGTTAGCCTAACCAATGTATGGCTTTGTAGATATGACTTCCGTTTCATTGATAACAGGGCGAATAAAAAGGCTCGAAATGGCTTTAGTTTTACAATAGAACATTGACTACATTGTTAAGATACCTCCTAATTTGAAAAAAATGCCCCCAAATTATGAGTTTTTTTTCCAGTGTTGCTACCAAGGACACTTAGTTTGAAATCTTAGATTAACCCCTACACAAGACACTAGGATGTGTCATCAGTAGTTTAATTTTGGATATTTATAAATACTTATGACATTAAGATTTAGACGCCAGCGAGCAAGGTGGTAGAGTGGATATCCTCTCATGGCGGAAAAACGTATTGGTCAGTTTATTAGCGAAATAAGGGGTGGCCAAAACATGCGAGGCGGTCAATGTGTCTTACCTGGAAGATCTCTCATATAAAAGTACATGTTTACTAATGTCGTCATTACATGCCAGGGTGTGTTTCAGTAATTACTGGGGGCACGGGTGGCCCAGTCGTCTAAGGCGCCGCGATTCGCTGTGCGCCAGAAATCTATGATTGTGGGTTCGAATCCCGGTTCGCCACGATTATGTTTCTAGGTTTGTCAGCACCATACCCGTGCTCGTGGGTTTCACCGAAGTGGTAAACGTCTGAGACCTGCATCACTTGGGGCTTTCCTCCCACATTAAGCAGACACGCTGTGATATAACTGGAATACTGTGAAAAGCGGTGTTAAACCCAACTCACTCACTCACTTCATTCATTACTGTATTGGGCGTTTCAGCACTTCACTTCACCTGGTACATGGTTGCTTTGTTGACAAGGCCAAATTCACCACTGCCTCGGTAAACATGGTTCAGTTTGTTTATGAGGTGAATAGAAAAATCTACTTGGACATTTGACTCCTGGAGCTGTATTGTAAGAAAAGTAACTCTAAAGTCAATCAAGGGGGGTAACTCTACAACCCCTATGCGCCATAGTGTAATATCTTGGCAAATGATTGTTTTATGTATGTTTCAAAACAATCTAATTAAAATCCAAGTTCTGGTTGCTGCTAAACAAAGATCTGAGGACACCCCATTACTGGTCACGTCAAAACGACCTCTCGCGAATTTTGACCGACCATTGACATCAGCCAATTAGAAGGCAGTTTTCTCGAGCTTTACGGCACTCGTTTCAACCTGGCGACTTCATTTGAGACTACGCTTGAAAAATATGTTGACACAGTTCTCGATTAATTTTTGGAAATCTGAACAAACGAACATGTGGTAATGTGTAATATATGGTAGAGATCGTATGGCAGTGCTTCCCACGTACTGTGCAACGCCTCCTCGTTCAAATGTTTATCCCCCGGAAGCGAGAGATAGACGATAATTTTGACGGAATCAGTCGTAGGGGCCGTAACTGTCGTTCGGAATACCCCGTGTTAACGTTTTCGAGGTTGCATGATTAGAAAACACATTCCGGCTGTCACTTTCATGACCTCGTAAGCGACGCTTTGATTGATCGGATGAAAGGTCGTTCTGACGTGACCCGTAATGGGATGTCCTCAAATCTCTGTTCAGCGATAGCGAGAACTAAAACCGGATTTTAAAGAGATTGGTTTCAAAACAATGTCTAAATCACATAAAATGTTTTGTTTAGTTGTAGGAGCGCCAATGTCTGGATCATACGCTGGGTCGAAACATGCACTCCATGCAAGTCATTGTTTAAAAAAAATTGTTTTTAGACAGTAAACAAGTAGTTAATTCATATGAACTATTGTGTGATGTAAATGGTATACGGATTGTAGATGTATGTAACAAGTATTACTGTTGCTTACTGGTCATCTTCCTGAGGCAAGGGCCTTAACTGACTATAAATGTCCAGTTTCCACCCTCGGCGAACAGGGCTTGCCGAGTTATGTCGCTTCTATGTCCCTCCTATTGCCAAATAGGGGCGGTCGGGTAGCCTTTTGGTTAAAGCGTTCGCTCGTCACGCCGAAGACCTGGGTACAATGTGTGAAGCCCATTTCTGGTGTCCCCCGCCGTGATATTGCTGGAATATTGCTAAAAGCGGCGTAAAACCAAAACTCACTCACTCACTCACTCACATATTGCCCAATCAGATTCCATCTCTCACATAACATGCATTTACTTCAAACAAAATGACTGTGCCCAGTCAAGACAATCATATCGCATATCAAGAACGATATTGTAATAAAACGAAGTGCATCAAATCACTTGGGCAGCTTGATTAAAACATGGAAAGATTTGTAAAATATCTGTCGACAACCAGGTAACAGTACGCATGCTTTGCAAATCCTGCAGTCGACAGAAACCTGCATGTTGAAATCCATGTTGTTTACGAACCGGATGTTAGGCTCGTAACACGGTTTTGACTGGCCTATGCCACAATGTAACTCCAGATTTCAAGCCAAGTTCCGCAAGACTTGAAACTGGACTTTTATAGTCAGTTAACGCCCTTGCCTCGGGAAGATGCTTACTCCGAGCCCGTGAATTGTTTGGACAAGAGATTATAGGGTCACTTGTCAATAGTACCCCCACCCAATAACCCTGACAGAATATTTGTTGACATCTATTGTCTTCCTAAGAGTTTTGGTCGTGATTTTATACATGGCTGACTGGTTTGAGCGTTTATATGAGGGATGGTATTTCTGCAAACAGGGCTGGTTTGAGTGTTTATATGAGGGATGTTCTTTCTGCAAACAGGGCTGGTTTGAGTGTTTATATGAGGGATGTTCTTTCTGCAAACAGGGCTGGTTTGAGTGTTTATATGAGGGATGTTCTTTCTGCAAACAGGGCTGGTTTGAGTGTTTATATCAGGGATGTTATTTGTGCAAACAGGGCTGGTTTGAGTGTTTATATGAGGGATGTTCTTTCTGCAAACAGGGCTGGTTCGAGTGTTTGCGGATTGAACAATATTCCAACAACATCAAGGTGACGATGGTTTGTCCTGGACCTGTCTTCTCCAGCTTGATGTCTATTGCCATGACGGAGGAGAAAGGAAAGGTAGGATGGTAAACTTTCAGGGCCCTTTTTTGACTCTCATATTCTAAAAGAGGCTTTAGATTGTATTGGTATAAAGATCACAGCTTTTATTAGAACTGACTGTCAAATTGCTTTGTGCGGGTATATCCAGATTTCATATTCAGGGCGGTGCCTGTTGCTGAAGTTTCATATACTGGGTAGTGCATATTGCTGAAGTTTCATACACTGGGTGGTGTCTGTTGCTGAAGTTTCATATACTGGGTAGTGCATATTGCTGAAGTTTCATATACTGGGTGGTGCCTGTTGCTGAAGTTTCATACATTGGGTAGTGCATATTGCTGAAGTTTCATACACTGGGTGGTGCCTGTTGCTGAAGTTTCATATACTGGGTAGTGCATATTGCTGAAGTTTCATATACTGGGTGGTGCCTGTTGCTGAAGTTTCATACATTGGGTAGCGCATATTGCTGAAGTTTCATATACTGGGTGGTGCCTGTTGCTGAAGTTTCATATCCTGGGTGGCGCCTGTTGCTGAAGTTTCATATTCTGGGTGGTGCCTGTTGCTGAAGTTTCATATTCTGGGTGGTGCCTGTTGCTGATGTTTCATATACTGGGTGGTGCCTGTTGCTGAAGTTTCATATTCTGGGCAGTGCCTGTTGCTGAAGTTTCATATTCTGGGTGGTGCCTGTTGCTGAAGTTTCATACATTGGGTAGTGCATATTGCTGAAGTTTCATACACTGGGTGGTGCCTGTTGCTGAAGTTTCATATACTGGGTAGTGCATATTGCTGAAGTTTCATATTCTGGGTGGTGCCTGTTGCTGAAGTTTCATACATTGGGTAGCGCATATTGCTGAAGTTTCATATACTGGGTGGTGCCTGTTGCTGAAGTTTCATATCCTGGGTGGTGCCTGTTGCTGAAGTTTCATATTCTGGGTGGTGCCTGTTGCTGAAGTTTCATATTCTGGGTGGTGCCTGTTGCTGAAGTTTCATATACTGGGTGGTGCCTGTTGCTGAAGTTTCATATTCTGGGCAGTGCCTGTTGCTGAAGTTTCATATTCTGGGTGGTGCCTGTTGCTGAAGTTTCATATTCTGGGTGGTGCCTGTTGCTGAAGTTTCATATTCTGGGCGTTGCCTGTTGCTGAGGTTTCATATTCTGGGTGGTGCCTGTTGCTGAAGTTTCATATTCTGGGTGGTGCCTGTTGCTGAAGTTTCATATTCTGTGTGGTGCCTGTTGCTGAAGTTTCATATTCTGTGTGGTGCCTGTTGCTGAAGTTTCATATACTGGGTGGTGCCTGTTGCTGAAGTTTCATATTCTGGGCGGTGCCTGTTGCTGAGGTTTCATATACTGGATGGTGCATATTGCTGAAGTTTCATACACTGGATGGTGCAAATTGCTGAAGTTTCATATACTGGGTAGTGCATATTGCTGAAGTTTCATATACTGGGTGGTGCCTGTTGCTGAAGTTTCATACATTGGGTAGTGCATATTGCTGAAGTTTCATACACTGGGTGGTGCCTGTTGCTGAAGTTTCATATACTGGGTAGTGCATATTGCTGAAGTTTCATATACTGGGTGGTGCCTGTTGCTGAAGTTTCATACATTGGGTAGCGCATATTGCTGAAGTTTCATATCCTGGGTGGTGCCTGTTGCTGAAGTTTCATATTCTGGGTGGTGCCTGTTGCTGAAGTTTCATATTCTGGGTGGTGCCTGTTGCTGATGTTTCATATACTGGGTGGTGCCTGTTGCTGAAGTTTCATATTCTGGGCAGTGCCTGTTGCTGAAGTTTCATATTCTGGGTGGTGCCTGTTGCTGAAGTTTCATATACTGGATGGTGCATAATGCTGAAGTTTCATACACTGGGTGGTGCAAATTGCTGAAGTTTCATATACTGGGTGGTGCATATTGCTGAAGTTTCATACACTGGGTGGTGCATATTGCTGAAGTTTTATATACTGTGAACAGAAGGAAACAGTTGTTCTTGGTTGGGTTGGTATAGCTCGTCCAAATACACTCGATTAATATGGAAGTGCTCTCACAAACACACCCGTTGCGCATGTTCTTTTTGGGGGAAAATCTCGTGCGTGTCATGCTGATGTGACGGACCACTACGTTGAACGGGGTAACATGTAAAAGTTGATGTTTATTCGTTGTGGGACGAAGACGTCCTTAGAGCTCAGGTCAGGAGATTGCCTTTGCTAATATTAGTATTAACTTCCATTATCCACTTTATAACAGAAAGTGGTCAATTATTCACTTTAGATGAATATATAGACACATTTGATTTTGGGGCGATTTGGTTAGTGTGGCAATGAAGGTTTGTGTTTCTGTCTTCTGTTTAATTAAAATGTCCGACATGATATGTTTGACTTGTTGTTTACTTAACGGGGAATAACGTGCCTCATTCCCATACTGGGTGGTGCATATTGCTGAAGTTTTAATATCTGGGTGGCGCCTGTTGCTGAAGTTTCATACTCCCGGTGGTGCCTGTTGCTGAGGTTTCATATTCTGGGCGTTGCCTGTTGCTGAAGTTTCATATACTGGGTGGTGCCTGTTGCTGAAGTTTCATACATTGGGTAGCGCATATTGCTGAAGTTTCATATACTGGGTGGTGCCTGTTGCTGAAGTTTCATATCCTGGGTGGTGCCTGTTGCTGAAGTTTCATATTCTGGGTGGTGCCTGTTGCTGAAGTTTCATATTCTGGGTGGTGCCTGTTGTTGATGTTTCATATACTGGGTGGTGCCTGTTGCTGAAGTTTCATATTCTGGGCAGTGCCTGTTGCTGAAGTTTCATATTCTGGGTGGTGCCTGTTGCTGAAGTTTCATATTCTGGGTGGTGCCTGTTGCTGAAGTTTCATATTCTGGGCGTTGCCTGTTGCTGAGGTTTCATATTCTGGGTGGTGCCTGTTGCTGAAGTTTCATATTCTGTGTGGTGCCTGTTGCTGAAGTTTCATATTCTGTGTGGTGCCTGTTGCTGAAGTTTCATATACTGGGTGGTGCCTGTTGCTGAAGTTTCATATTCTGGGCGGTGCCTGTTGCTGAGGTTTCATATACTGGATGGTGCATATTGCTGAAGTTTCATACACTGGATGGTGCAAATTGCTGAAGTTTCATATACTGGGTGGTGCCTGTTGCTGAAGTTTCATACACTGGGTGGTGCCTGTTGCTGAAGTTTCATATACTGGGTAGTGCATATTGCTGAAGTTTCATATACTGGGTGGTGCTTGTTGCTGAAGTTTCATACATTGGGTAGCGCATATTGCTGAAGTTTCATACACTGGGTGGTGCATATTGCTGAATTGATTGATTGTTAGAAAGTTTTATAGGTGTTCGGGCAACTAGGCCCATGTACACCTTGCCCATAATAAAGGTTTGCTAAGTACCTAGATAGTTCATAGACTAGTGAAACTGCCACACGCTTTAAAAGCACCACACACTACTTTAAGATTGGCTGACATATTCAACAGAGACCCATGGTCATCAGAGATAGCAATAGCGTTATTAGAGACATTAAAAATGGAGACTGATTATTTATCCTTCAAATGAAGAATGACTTCATTCCCTTGTAAATGGGATGGTTGAACCTTATTTCACTAAACGACAGTGAGTGAGTGAGTTTAGCACTACCACCTGTAAAACCAAACTGACGATCTTTACGTAGGCAGACATAACCTTCCCAACATAATCGCTGGTTAGGAGTTAAGAATGTCTCCTGAAGACAAAACATCTGGGTCAAAACTTAATACAAACTTTAAATCCTGGACCGTTAGCACTTAGTGATCTAGCATGAAGAAAGCCATAAGAAGGATGGATTAAGACTTCCATTGTTGACCCTTAACCATGCTCGTCAGATCATCAGGGGACAATCTTAACCCCAAGAGGGACTGGGCAGCTGACGCTATCGTCTGAAGACCATCAGACTTGAATGCACGAGTAGTTCCAAGATTAGCAACTATACAAATAACAAAGTTGAGAAAGTCAACAGGAGAAACATTGTTAAATAGAGGTTTGCAAGATGATTCAGGCATGATGTCAACAACAGGATCAGTCTGACATTCAACTTCAAGAGTCTCAGTCTGAGTACTAGCAGTCACCATGACAGGAGAAGACACAACATCAGAAATTGTAACAACCTGAGACAGTGGTTTAGCTGCAGGAGGTGGCTTAGGGACTGCTGGAACCTGAGCGACATCAAAATCTCCACGCACCTGTCGAACAGCCTGAGAATAAGACAACTTACCCTCCACTCGGACTTTCTGAATCTGGACAGCTTCCTGGTATTTAATACAACCTTTATATGCCGCAGAGTGTGCACCACCACAGTTCTTACATTTAAGGGAACTTTCATTGCACTCCTCGTATTTGTGCTTCCCTCCACATTTAGCGCACACATGATGAGTGCTTCTACACTTAGCAGAGACATGCCCAAAGGACTGACACTTGAAGCATCGAAGAGCAGGAGGAACATATATCCGGATTGGAAATCTCTGGAAGAAAATGACAACATGATCCGGTAAAGACTGGCCAGTAAATGTAAGAAGAACAGATTTGGTGGGAACTTTATCAGGCCCACGAGTCAGACGCACAGCAGAGCACATTAGAGGTAACACAGGTTTCAACTCGTCCTCAATTTCATTCATCTCAATATCCAGATCAATACCATAGATGACTCCACGTGTTCTCATTAAGGATTCAGGCTCATGAGGGGTGACAAAATGTTCATCAAGTTCTGTGACTTGCAAAAGTGTTTTGGCAGCCTCAACGGTTTTTGCAGTGACACTAACATCTCCCCTGGCCATCCGCTTAACACTGACTATTTCTGTAGTGATCTTAGCCAAGGCTCTAGCCAAAGCATGCTGTGTCATAAGTTGACAGAGGGTCGGTGAACCATCATCATATTCATCTACATCGGCTTTGAAGATAACAGTGGTTGATTTGACCCGAGGTGGCTCATCAAAGACAAAAGTAAGATCAGACCTTGGAGTAGGAGGAACAGTATTTGGTTGCTTGGCAACACAGGCTTTTTTAGAAGTACCATCTGGAATACGGCCGATTCGCTTCCTCCCTGAAGCAACGACTTTAAATCCTTCCTCACATTCCATTCTGTTGTCAGCCATTGTCGAGGACAATCCCCAACAACTGACTGTAACAATCAGCAAACACCAAATAGAAATTATAAGTTTGAATGCACTCCAACACAAGAGAAATCAAAAGCCAAAGAACAAAAGAGGAAGTATCATAAACAGTCAAGTGCGCTGTATAACACTAGACAAGTTGCTGAGAAGCAAAAGACGTCCGAACTCGACGGCAGTCAAGACCGAACTCCCATATTGCTGAAGTTTTATATACTGTGAACAGAAGGAAACAGTTGTTCTTGGTTGGGTTGGTATAGCTCGTCCAAATACACTCGATTAATATGGAAGTGCTCTCACAAACACACCCGTTGCGCATGTTCTTTTTGGGGGAAAATCTCGTGCGTGTCATGCTGATGTGACGGACCACTACGTTGAACGGGGTAACATGTAAAAGTTGATGTTTATTCGTTGTGGGACGAAGACGTCCTTAGAGCTCAGGTCAGGAGATTGCCTTTGCTAATATTAGTATTAACTTCCATTATCCACTTTATAACAGAAAGTGGTCAATTATTCACTTTAGATGAATATATAGACACATTTGATTTTGGGGCGATTTGGTTAGTGTGGCAATGAAGGTTTGTGTTTCTGTCTTCTGTTTAATTAAAATGTCCGACATGATATGTTTGACTTGTTGTTTACTTAACGGGGAATAACGTGCCTCATTCCCATACTGGGTGGCGCCTGTTGCTGAAGTTTCATACTCCCGGTGGTGCCTGTTGCTGAGGTTTCATATTCTGGGCGGTGCCTGTTGCTGACGTTTCATACACCGGGTGGTGCAAATTCTTGAAGTTTCATATTCTGGGTGGTGCCTGTTGCTTATGTTTCATACACTGGGTTGTGCCTGTTGCTGAAGTTTCATACACATGGTTGTGCCTGTTGCTGAAGTTTCATATTCTGAGGGTTCATATACAAGGTGGCCTATATTGCTGAAGTTTCATATTCTGGGCAGTGCCTGTTGCTGAAGTTTCATATACTGGATGGTGCCTGTTGCTGAAGTTTCTTACTGACTGACTGACTGACTGACTGACTGACTGACTGACTGACTGGCTCACTGGCTCACTGGCTCACTGGCTCACTCACTCACTCACTCACTCACTCACTCACTCTGCATGTCATGGATGTGTGTCGGCTGTTCAGGTGGTGGGAGGGGAGATGAAACCAGGGGAAAAGAGGATGGCAACATCTCGGTGTGCCAGTCTGACAGCTGTCGCCATCGCCAACCAGCTGGATGAGGTGTGGATCTCGGAGCACCCAGTACTGGCCTTTATCTACTTGTTTCAGTACCTTCCTTCCTTCACAAGAAGGTGAGTCTCATTTAACATTCTCCACATACATCTTCCAGTGTCTTCCTACCTTTACCGTATCACCGGCTCCTTAGTCCGGTAGTAGCGCAGAAGGTTCGGGGTTCGATCCCTAGTCGTGTCATACCAAAAGACTTTAAAAAATGGTACTTGTTGTTACCCTGTCTGACACTCGTCATTAAGGGGCTAAAACAAGGTCTGGTCGACTCGGAATTTGTATACTGTGTGTGAGTTGGGTATTCATGTTAAACTGCGGCATGGTATCTCAATAATCTTGGACGTGACCCCATTTCACCTCACCTCACCTTTACTGTTTGTTATACATTGTGATTTCGTTTCTGTGTGAAGTGAGTTATTCCCAGTAGTTCACATGTCACATAGCCTTCCTTCCAAGGATGGTTAGGGGCGATCGGGTAGCCTAGTGGTTAAAGCGTTCGCTCGTCACGCCGAAGACCCGGGTTCGATTCCCGACATGGGTACAATTTGTGAAGCCCATTTCTGGTGTCCCCTGCCGTGATGTTGCTGGAATATTGCTAAAAGCGGCGTAAAACCATACTCACTCACTCACTCACTCCAAGGATGGTTCAAAATTGTACCTGGCAGACTGTGGGGCACCATGCCCTGATAGCATGGACTGTTGCCCTTGCTCTCATCCACGAGTTTCCCTTGCCTCAGGACACAATCACAGGTGGTTATTGTAATTTGAAACCCCAGTTTGACCAATCAGGATTGAATATTTTCCAAATACATACTCATGTGTTGTATTTTTCAGACAGGTTTGTAAGATGAGTCTGGCCAAGTTGAAGAAGATGAGAGGGTCGGTAGGGTTGAGCCCATAGCTACCAGCACTGACCAGCACTGACCAAAGCTAACCAACACAGCACAAGGCATTTCACAGCTCTCAATTCACTGACCACACAGTACAGTGAAACCAATCCCAAAGTGACATATCCCAGATTAACAAACCTATGTGTTGCGGAATGTCAATGAGGCAAAGTCCTGATGGGTAGCAAGGCTTCTGAACCAAATGTAGGATAGTGCGGTTTAGTTTTGCCTTTCTGTTCACATATATTTGAACAGGATGTATCTACTATAACTGCATAATCGTCCTTGTTTAATCATGTAGTAACATCCATTATTACCTCCATTTTCCAAATATAATGCTTCCTAAACGAATGTGAAACTTGGCCTGGCATCCGATTTTGTTAAGGAATTTTGTTTTTGTCTTCACAAGATAATGATAATGTAATTCCATATCTGGTCAACGTGGTTTAATGCATTTGAAGATTATTTCTTCAAGTTTGTCGGGTAAATATCAAGAGCATGTTTCTTCAGGAGAATTAACTGTTTCCAGTCACCTTGACATTTGTTTTGAGCTGCTTGCTTAAGGACTAGTCATTTATTATAGGGGAAGGGGGGCCGTGAGATTAGGTGGTGGAGGCAATGAAAAAATGGTACAGTCAGCATTGTCTCAGTGTGTGTGTATATTCGGTTCTATTTTTCAAAAAAGGTAAACATTACCAACTTGAACACTTGAACATCATTTAGGGACTGGTCACTTATAAGGAGGGTGTTATGAAAGATTGTTGAATGTATTTCATTGGGAGATGTGCATGGGAAGATGGCCGTTAAGAAGATTTATTTGTAAAAATGTGTACTGTAAAAAGAACAAAAGACTGAACAGAACCCCCCCCCCCCCTAAAAAAAAAAAAAAAAATAATGATAGAAAAAATATCAAAAATATCAGTACCCCCAAACACTATCTGGATTCCTTATAGGTGTTATATAGTTCAAGTAATGTAAGTGGTGGACCTTTTCCTATTGATCTTCTTTCCTTCCTACATAAACTGTATTTAGACTTCAACAAATATTGTCTCATTCAATTGAATGATTTGTTGTATTCTTTTATATTCTTTGGATTATTGTTCACCTTCATATCATGTTTGTTATTAAAAGTGACTAATTATTGTATTTTTAAAAAATAAATTACACTTTCGACTACCCAACACTATGTCGTTCGTTCGTTTGTTGTTTAACGCCGCACTCAGCAATATTCCAGCTATATGATCGCGATCTGTCAATAATCGAGTCTGGACCAGAGAGTCCAGTGATTGACATCATGAGCATCGATCCACGCAGTTTGGATACGATGACATGCATTAACCAGACCCCGTTAGTCGTCTCTTGCGACAAGCATGGGTTGCTTAAAGACCTACCCCAGATCATCACGGGTCCTTTATCGGCCCCCAGTCGACAACACCATCGGCCCACCGTCGGCCTACGTGGGTGTCATTTATGGGCCAAGCATCGGCCCGACATCGGCCCGACATCGGCCCGACATCGGCAATTATTATGGGCTCAGCATCAGACTGACATCAACCCAAAGTCAACAATAATTATCAGTCCAGCATTGGGTTGACATTGGCCCAACAAAAATAATCGGTATAGAATTGGCCTAGTCCAACCCCTCTGATCCTTTCACCACCCCAGTATTGGTCATACAGACTTATCCCCTTTTCTGTTCTGTGCCATTCACAATGACAGCTTCGTTGTTCAGTATTTTTACCATTCATTATATTGGACGACAGTTCTTTATTGTCTTCCAAATAAATGCACAAATTATGAAACAAAAGGCAAGACAACTTGCAATCATCATTAAGAATTACATAATTTCTTTGTTGTATCCAATATTTTCAAAAACAGTCCGAAACATCTAAACTTTCAATTTCATCATCAGTCAGTGTCTTAATTACATGTAGGTTCTAATTTGTAATGGCTGATATTTTGTAGAGTAGATTGCCATGACTACCACGGGGTATGTTGAGAATGTCATGTAGGACATCCAGTTAGAGACGGAGCATCTTCCCGAGGTCAGGGCTGCCAGTTTCCACTGGAATTTTATAGTCAATTAACGCCCTTGCCTCGGGAAGATGGAGATGAAGTGGCAGCCCGAAGCTCTACTGCTACTGAAAATGTCACCATGACACAGGACACCAGCCAGATCAACACTGCTGACCTACACTTTTCCCGCTCAGAAGATACCGAGATACCGGAAAATCATCTTGAAAGGTAATCTAATATATAGGTTAATGTAGACAGTATTGACTAAACGAGAGTTTATGTGTAAAATTTAATGTAAAATGATATGAACATTGTAATATATATTAATACAAACTAGTAATATACCAGTAAATGGCAATTTGAAGACGGCAGCATCCAGAAACCTGACAGCGCGGACAATGACACTGAGGTGAACACGTTCACCATCGTCGAGCATGGCCCACAGAAGAACAAGCCGAAAATCATTAACACATATGGACATGCACATGTGGTGGAAGTAATATTCTATAGGACAATACTATGACAAAACCATTATGTAACATAATATTTCACATAATCCTATCACGATGTAAAGTAACATATTGTTTCATTTTTCAGTACATGGGTGTTCTGGAAGAAATCTGGTTGCACAATATGCAGGAAGTGCAGTGCGGCTCTGTTTAACACCCGGATGAGGGCGCATGTTCTAGGTTTTGGTAGAGAAGTCCGAATAGAAGTGGCAGCCATAAACTGTGACACTGTGAAATGTGACAACGTGATATTCCAGAATATCAATAAGTAAACTCGATGTCTGAACAATGAGGTGAAGTGAGGTGAGGTGAAATTGGGTTTAACGTCGCGTCCAAGATTATTGCACTTATATAGCGACGTGCATGCACGTGTGTGTGTGTGTGTGGCTGCTTGTACTAGTCCGGACTGATGCCGATTTATAGTGCTAGAACACTGAGATACCATGCCGCAGTTTTACATGAATACCCCACTCAGACAAAGTATACTGACTCCGAGCCGACCAGTCCTTGTTTTAACCCCCATAATGCCGAGCGCCAGACAGGGTAACAACAAGTACCATATTTTATGTCTTTTGGTATGACGCGGCGGGGGATCGAACCCCGGACCTGCCGCTCTCCGGGCGGACGCTGTCTGAACAATAAATAAACTAAGTCACAACAGATTTTTGTTGGTTTTGTTTCTCCAAAATTTGTGGCCATATTTTTAAAAAATCTGGCCGTTTTCGCCAAATTGCCTGGGGCCATTTTCTCCTGCACCCCGTAAGAGGAACCAAATGGATCGGGTGGTCAGGCTCGGTGACGTGGTTGATTGCGCGTCATCGTAACTCGACGTCGTGGATCGTTGCTCACAATATCGATCACTGGATTGTCTGGTTCAGATTCGATTATTTACAGGCCGCGGCGTTCAACAAGAAGAGAGTGGCGTTAAACAAGACGCTAAAAGGATAGTGCGTTTCTGACACTTGAGTGATATTAGTAGATCAAGAAATATTTAAGCAACGGCACATGGACCCGTGGAATAAACTACTTGACTGTTTGATTAAACAGACGAGGTGGTCGTGATCAGATGCTGGGGGATACTGTTACCAAACCCGATAAGTACGTGTCGGCTTAGATGCTACCTTGCCTCGTCACTATCTCTCCACTCAACCATTTCCGACCACGACTTTCAATACAACTTGCCAAGCAATGTCAGCAGATTTATTCTGAACAATTTTATGCATATTCACACGATAACCAACATTCCAAGGGATATAATTGTTATTAGAACGTGACCCTGATAAATAAATATTTTTTGCAAGTTTGAATAGGCCAACCATGCCGAGTAGGTAATAGATAGCTTATGGGAAAATACATGTTGATACACATTATTGATAACCTTTGATCTAAGGTTGACTCGTTGTGTGGTTTGACTGGCATGTAGGTAAGCTACTATAACCCTGGTTCTGGTGCGAATACTATCTCATTTCATCGTTCTATACAGAACCGTCTTCCTAGCTTTCATACAGGATTAGTTCGTTTTAATTATTTTCGACTTAATAACCGATAATGGAACGTATGGTTATTGGGAATCGTTTATGAAAATAGCCGGAAAATAAATCAAGATAAGTATATGAATGTTTGTATACAGGACAGTTTAACCCACTGGCGGGTTAATATCGCCGGTAAAATCAAGGAGGGTATAAATCTTGAAAGAGAATCAAATATCCCCCAGTGTGTGTTCTTGGTGTAAAACGACTTTCCTTTATTCGGCTTATAATTCAAATTTTCTCATTATTCTGCCACACAAACACTAAATATTTGATATGGACTCCCGAAACGCCAAATTGGATATCGACCAGTAAGTAAAATCAATCGGTGATTTGATCGATTTGTGTCGGCGTCTTGTCAGGCAGTATTGTGATTCTAATGTTACGTCGTTACTGTGTAGCATGTGCATAACAATTAACACATGGGGCTATTAAGTTAAACCGGAGGCTATTTTAGAGATCAATACTGCTTTAAGACGCTTGAGGCACACTTTGCTTTGACAGAGTAATCCTACCGTATTTACCTATAATATATGTCCATGTAAGCTGGATTTCGTAACACGCACACATACCATAATATATATATACTAACCACCGTCATTTAGCTGGAATATTGCCGAGGGCGGCGTTTTACAACAAACACATAACATATATACTAAATATATACTACTCAAAAGAAGTTAAAGAACTACGCATTGTTTCATATGACTAGTTAATGGTGCGTCATGGTGCGAATTGTTAACCTTGCAGTTGTGGGTGTTTTTTAACTTGTTTCGCGTAGTATACGAGGGGCGATTGATAAGTTGTGAGCTTACCTCTGAAGGAGTGTGGTACGGATGTTCCTTTGTGGTGGTGATAGACTGATCAAGTACAGTGACATACACCGGAGGATTGTTGTATTGGACACATTATTTAGTTTAGTATAAGCTATTGACTGCAAGGGGGGTTATGAGATCACTTAAAATGGAGAAACAGGAAAAGCGAGGCTTAACACCCAATGCCATATATGAGGATATGTTATCCACACTAGGGGAAGATGCCCCGTCATATGCAACAGTGAAAAGATGGGTGGCAGAGTTTAAACGTGGGCGATCGAGCACTGATGATGAACCCTGGTCCACCTGTTGTGTCTTCAACACCTGAAATGGTACAGCGAGTCCTGGACATATTCATGGACGACCGACGAGTGACACAGCGACAGATAGCCAACTTAGTCGACATCTCTCAGGAGCGAGTGCATTTCATTCTGACAGATATTCTAGGAATGCACAAGGTTTCTGCTCGATGGGTCCCCAAACTGTTGACAGCTGATCAGAAACCTCAAAGAGAGAATCTCTCAAGGGAGAACCTCAAGCTTTTTGAAGGTGATCCAGATAACTTTCTCAAACGGTTTGTTACAATGGACGAAACATGGGTCCACCACTTTGAACTTGAATCAAAACAACAGTCTAAACAGTGGAAACATGTCACATCTCCTACTCCAAAGAAAGCAAAGTCTGTGCCTTCAGCTGGGAAAGTCATGGCATCCGTGTTTTGGGATTCTGAAGGTGTGATCATGGTGGACTGGCTTCCTAAAGGCTGTACTGTTACAGGGGCTTACTATGTGGAACTTCTGAGACAGTTAAGAGAGAAAATCAAAGTTACGCGACGTGGAAAGTTGACGAAAGGTGGGCTTTATCATCACGACAATGCTCCAGCACACACGTCACTGATAGCAATGGCCAAAATCCATGAGTGTGGCTTTGAACTTCTCCAACATCCACCTTATTCACCTGATTTGGCTCCGTCGGACTATCATCTGTTCCCCCAGTTGAAAAGGCATTTAGCTGGGACTCATTTCCAGTCAGATGATGACGTCATTACAGCGGTCAACAACTTTTTGAGTGACCAAGAAGTTGACTTGTACAAAAGTGGCATAATGGCATTGCAACATTGCTGGCAGAAGTGTGTTGACCTTAAAGGGGACTATGTCGAAAAATAAAAAGCTTTGGTATCAAACTGACTTTGTTTTCTTTGTTAGGCTTAGAACTTATCAATCGCCCCTCGTATACTAAATCCATAGAAGTGAAGTCTGCCAAGTAACTGGCGTCTCCAGTTACCTATACTGTACGTCAATAGTATACACTACATATATCCTTCCCTTCCGGGGCGGTCGGGTAGCCTTGTAGTTAAAGCGTTCGCTCGTCATGCACTCACTTTAGTAATACAGTAGTAACACACATTCCATTTAGCCGCCTCTTAAACAAGCATACATGACTGGGGACGTTGTCTTCTCCGAAATCTCCACGGGAATTTAATGAGCAGTAGAGAAAATCGGAATATTATGTCCAACTGTTTAATCACGTGGAAACTACACAAAATAGCATATTTATAAACCTCTTGGTTAAAGCGTTCGCTCGTCAAGACGAAGACCCGGGTTCGATTCCCGACATGGGTATATGTGTGAAGCCCATTTCTGTTGTCCCTGCGGTGATATTGCTGGAATATTGCTAAAAGCGGCGAAAACCAAACTCACTCACTCACTCCCAGCTAACGGCCATCGCGTTTTACTCACCGCAATTTCATTCACTAAGCTAAACCTGATTTATTTATGAAAAAAATTATGATCTTATACTAGGAGTGAGTGAGTTGGGTTTAACGCCGCTTTTAACATTATTCCAGTCATATCGCGGCATGTCAGCTTAATGTGGGAGGAAAGCCCGAAGTGATGCAGGTTACAGACGTTTACCACTTCGGTGAAACCCACGAGCACGGGCATGGTGCTGACAAACCTAGAAACATAATCGGGGCGAACCGGGATTCTAACCCACAATCATAGGTTTCTGGCGTGCCCAAGGGACGCAACTCTGCACAGCGAATCGCAGCGCCTTAGACGACTGGGCCACCCATGCCCTCTTCTTATACCAGGAAACTCCATAAATAAATTACACACTTTGTGATGTTGAAACTGTCGGGTGAAAGAAATCATACACCCAGGATTGATGGAAGCTAATAATTAAACAAACAAGAAATGATTATTCGATGGTGACGTATTTTTACTGATGTCATAGTTGTGTCTTGAACCTTGCAGTGTTTTAGCGACTCCCAATCTGGTAACGTTGATAATTTTTTGGTCAAATCCAATTTTCAAGTGTATGCTTTATTTTTCCAGGCAGTTTATTTGCAGCTGTTCCACAGATAATATACAACCCGCTCATACTCATTGTCTGTTTAGCTCAAGTACCCTTGACATTGCACGGGGCAAGAGGTTTTACGGTAGTCAGAGCCAGCGGTCCCGTTACCTCAGCGGTCCTTGTGTCGGTTGCTAAGCATGGGTCGCGAGCTACCCACGTGAGACGCGTCCTCAGAGAATCTCGCCTCACCGTTAGGTGTGCAAGGGACTGTTTTACCTGAAGGGATACTCGGCGTTCAAAACAAGGGAGGGGTCAATTCGTGGGTAAGACGGACAATGATTTCACATTTTGCTCTTGTCATGGTGTCAGTTTTCTTATGAATCATATTCATACTCAAAACTCATGTCTTGTTTTGTTTGCAAGTCACCTGCCTCATTTTACTCGTACGTTTATTTACGTTCTTGACGAAATATATTCAGAAGTATTTCCGTACAAATATGTCTTGCTTTGTTAATATGAAAATAGACAAAACTTTGCGTATGTTGCAATCAGTGTTAACGTCAGTCACGCTATATGGACATTTCAAAGTTGGATATTCATATAGCAAGAAATATTATGGATAACAACTTTTTCATTACACGTAAAAAACGTTTCAGGGCTACTTCTCTCCGCTTCATCAGAATTCTCGTGATGAGTGAGTGAGTTAAAATTTACCGCCACATCTGCAATATTTCCGCCATATAGCAACGAGATTCTCGTGATGAATGCAAGGAGTAACCATGAAACATGTCGTTTGTATAATAAAGAAATTATTCATAATATTCATTGTTATGAAGTCGGTTAGTATTTAAAATATTTGAAATTTTCAGTCAATTTGAAAAATGACTGATTCACTCAGTCTGTTAACAAATTGACTATTACAACTAGTGTTTGTCATCTGTTAATTGATATCAGTTCAGTTTCTTAATAATTTTGACGAATCCTTTCTGCTTCAATGTGTGTATTGAAGTTTATGTCGAACCATTCAAATGGTATACAGTAAACTACGGTTATAACGAACTCATGGGGACTACTAATTTTAGTTCGTCATAACCGTTGTTCGTTTTAAGCATATATACAGAATAACTACAGCAAATAGTCGGGACCAAATAAGTAAGTTCGTTATATCCGTCAGTTCGTTATAAGCGTGTTCGCTATAACCGTAGTTTACTGTAGATTCAGTCAGCTGATGCTGTGGGAACCCAGGCCCAAGTATGTAAACTGAACTTAACAAAACAAATGTGACCTGCACGTGCGTTACATGCCAGTTGTAGGGATCATTTTTATTATGGAACAGCTGATCAATGAATATACTGGCACATCAAACATATTAGTTCTGCACCATGACCGTGGAATATATTTATTTTATGAAAAAAACATAATCTAGAAATGCATACAAAAGCAAGTCTAGCCAGCTCAAGCTAGCTCTATCTGAAATCAGCATAGGGAATTTTTTAATTTTTTTTAGAGTCAAGAAAGATATTGTGTAATATAAGATTTCAGAGACTAAATGTTAGTCTACAAACATATTTGAAATAGCACTTATGCGACACATCTCTATCAAATTGTCACCTCATCGTGTGACTAGTTGCGAAATATAAGAACATGCTTTCTGAAGGGGGAATATTTTCCTATGTTATAGCACACGCAGGTTCTATGTAACGCACAGCCTGCGGGTCGGTAAAAGAACCTTATGAAGCTGCCCTTCGTTGAAGATCAAATTAGCGTAGCAAGGGCGGTTAATTATAGTCAAGTAATCCGACTATAGCTGTTCAGTTGGAAGCATGCCATGGCTTGTGATAGCATATACAGCGGATTTAACGCCTGTTTAAACAATATTTCAGTTTTACAGAGAGAGATAATAATGTTATTATAGTGTCATATGTTATCTACACTTAAATCTAAAACATGTACACAAACAATAAAATATAACATTCGACCAGGTATGGCCTACGAGACACTAGACATAAAAGCATATGTATAACGCCATGACCCGGATAAGATAAATTAAGACAAATACCTACACAATGTTTAAAGTTAAGTTAGGAAATTCGTTGAACACACAGACACATACAGACGCGCACACACACACACGCACGCACGCACGCACGCACGCACGCACGCACGCACGCACGCACGCACGCACGCACGCACGCACACACACACACACACACACACACACACACACGCCAAATTACTTACACAGTCGACCCGTGAAGATTCCGGGGTAGAATAGGTCTTCAGCAACCCATGCTTGCCGTAAAAGGCGACTATGCTTGTCGTAAAAGGCGACTAACGGGATCGGGTGATCAGGCTCGCTGACTTGGTTGATGCATGTCATTGATCCCAATTGCGTGGATCGATGCTCATGATATCAATCACTGGATTGTCTGGTCCAGACTCGATTATTTACAGACCGCCGTCATAAAGCTGGAATATTGCTGAGTGCGGCGTTAAACAACAAACCAACCAACCAACTTACACAGTCACGCACGAAATCATACACAAACACGTAGACACATATACAGGCACACTTACGAACATGCATAGCGTCTCAATCACACACACTATATGCATGTATTTACATCGCCATGTCAGCAAAACACTAATAGTTACAGTATAGACTACACCGCATTATATTTTCTGTAAATGTTTATACATGCAGAATGGAACCCCAGCACCGCTGTTAAATAAATCTCCCGGATTAACACTTTCTGACTGGCAAGGATGGGAGGATTATCCCAAGAACGTAAACGTTTCAGTTTGTAAAAGGTCGGAATTCGGGGTCTCCAGAGTACAAGGGTTCTGATAAGCGGAGTTTTACTCGTACTGTAGACCTGAACGCTATCTGTGAATTGAATAGCTGTGTCATGGAAACACACATTGTCAACGTGCAATTTTATCACATAATACATGGCAGGTCATTGCAGATTAACATTCTATCTGTATCCGCATGCAAGCTCTTTATAAACATCTTTCCACGTATCAAGTACAGTTTGTAGTACTTATCTGGGTTGAGTCCCATCCGAGATTCGAACCCACGCTCCAAGAGTGAGGCACCTAATCGCCAGCACGCAAGCTTCGGTGGCTGAGTGGTTAAGATCGCTGTGCTTCACAAAGAAAGTGTTATCCCAAATATAACATTTGTTACATTTGACAACTTTCTAAATGACATTGTGTATTCATATCTAATAGGCGTGTGTCGACGCTGTGTCAAATTAGGCTTTAACCTATGAGGGGCGGTGGGGCAGCCTAGTGGTTAAAGCGTTCGCTCGTCACGCCGAAGATCCGGGTTCGATTCCCCACATGGGTTCAGTGTGTGAAGCTCAATCTGGTGTCCCCTGCCCTGATATTACTGGAATATTGCTAAACGCGGCGCTCGCTCCCTCCCTCCCTCACTCACTCTAACCCATGAATCAGCGAATCATATTTTAACTGTATACAATCTTCATGACCGATTCCACGTACTGGTGATACCAGCTTGTGCAGTGCATGCAGTTCCTGATGTCTACCCCGTGAAGATACGAGTTAAATTTGGTCTTCATGTGCAGCAACTCATGATTGTCGTAAGAGGCGACTCACGGGATCGGGTGGTCAGGAAATTGGTTGATGAATGTCATTGTATCCTAATTTAGATCGATGCTCATGATGTCAATCACCGGACGGTGTGGTCCAGACTGGATGACTTACAGACTGCCGTCAAATAGATGGAGATATTGCTATGTGCGGCGTTAAACAACAAACTTAGTGTCTAGAATGTACATACCATATATATCATTACAAATAATATAATGTTTTATAACAGTTAAGAACGCCTTAAAAGTATATCACTTTTTTTCTCCATTTTTATAATTGTTTTATGCTTTGGGTGTAATTTGATTGGTCAAGTAGATATGACGTCGAGCCTTTTAAATTATGTTTTGATGTAGCGGGCTTTTATTTTCCCTGACCGCACTTTTGTCAGTCTTTAATATCAGTTTACATGTGTTCAGGTTGACATTGGTACATAATGACTTTTCATGCCGTGTCACCTGTCGTTCATGTATACACAGCTGAAATATTGATTTGCAGATTATTAATTGGCATAATTTTGAAAAACATTCGCGGAGTTTTCGGCCATTTTAACCATATTGACATGTGCACTATCTGAAAAGACCTACGTGCTGTTCTAGTCTACTAAAAACGTGTAGGTTCTTATAGCAATGATCAATCAATCAAGGTGGTGTATATTTCATGTCGGTCTTGGGTATATATATTATATTTTGGGTATATGGATTTTCAAACTGACACGGATTGCATGAAATGTATATCGCTCGCACAGCTGTTCGCTGTCTGTGACATATTGATACTTGTAGCCCAGACATACCCCCCGCATAGAGGTAGGAGACCTTTTCAATGGCGTGAGTGACAGGCGAGATGATCGACAAACACACATTTCAGATAGCGACACCCGTCTTAGAAATTACAACTTGTGAGTGTCATTATCAGACCCGTTATCAACAATGATTGATTTATAGCGTCAATCCTAATATTTGCACAGTTTAAACCCTCATTTCAGTCTGAGCTTCGTGTCTAATACAGTGTTGAAGACGGAAGAGCAACAATGTTAACGGCGGGAGGCACTAGGAACAGCGCATGGCCAGTTCAAGTACACTTTGTCTATACGCGACCTGTATGCAAATACACATTACACTGTTGAGCTCGACTTAGGGGTCAAATGTCAAAGTTATTAAGGAGTCACACAGCCCCTTACGGTAAATGTGTTTCAAGAGTGGTGTATGTTATATGCAAGTAATCCTGTGTCTATGTACTTAAGGGTTTATTGTACATATGAGTATTCATGTTCGTCTTTGCATAAGTTTAGAGTGATAAGTGAGTGAGTTGGGTTTAACACCACTTTGAACAGTATTCCAGTCATATCACGGCGTGTCAGCTTTATGTGGGAGGAAAGCCTGAAGTGATGCAGGTCTTAGACGTTTACCACTTTTGTATAACCCACGAGCACGGGTATGGTGCTAAACCTAGAAACATAATCGGGGCGATCCGGAATTCGAACCCACATCGTAGGTTTCTGGCATGGCCAAAGGACGCAACAACGTGTCATAAAGATCACTTCGATCAGAAGATTTGCATCTTTGTCTGATCCACAATATACTCAAAGGCAATGGATACAGGGATTAACAAGCAAGGTGGAGAAACTGTTCTTCGACACTGTAGCACGTAACACTTTAATATTGCTATCGATATGAATAGATTTATTGTTCAACTGTAGCTCTTTGAGTTTGAGTGAGTTGGGTTTAACGCCGATTTTAACAGTATTCCAGTTATATCTCGGCGTGTCAGCTTAATGTGGGGGAAAAGCCCGAAGTGATGCAGGTCTGAGACGTTTACCACTTCGGTGAAACCCACAAGCACGGGTATGGTGCTGACAAACCTAGAAACATAATCGGGGCGAACCGGGATTCGAACCCATAATCATAGGTTTCTGGCGTGCCCAAGGGACGCAACTCTGCACAACGAATCGCGGCGCCTTAGACGACTTGGCCACCCGTGCCCCCGTAACGCTTTGAACATGCAGGGGTGTTAATAATAATAATAATAATAATAAGAATAAGAATAACAATAATAATAAAATGGCCTTCTATCAAAACCCTTATATATTGAATATATATGTCTGGAGGCACGGATGGTCGTTTAAAGCGCCGTTATTCTCTGTACAGAGTTAATTAATTAATTAATTAATAATAATGATAATAATATTATATTGTTGTAGGTGAAAAATATAGATGGTAATGATATTATTTGCAACCTCCCGCGCCGACATATTCCGGTGAGAACCGCGGGTTTTACGCACTAATGAGGTTTGACGGTCTCAGTTACCTGTGTCGTCTCTCTCACCGACTTCAAATGTCAGTCCCCACTACACACGACAATGTAATTAATCCCGCTTGCCATAAACACACCATCCACCAGCGATTGCAATCTATTGACATATGACTATAAACGGACGAATGCGATCAACCCATCTGTTTGAAAAGAGATCCGCGAAACCATTTGCCTGATGAGCTATCTTCACTGTCAAGTCGTCCTACACGAAATAGACACGCTATTGACAAGCGCATGTTACCAAAACCGTGACGGATTTCTACACTGCATTCTGTGTTGTATAAGTGTGTGTGTGTGGCTGGCTAGTTACTGTGATCGTGCTGGGTCTGAAATAGCTTTTATAATTCTTTATAAACCGTAAAATAACTTTGTATCGTGTTTCTCGTGTTTACTATGTTTGTTGTTATACCTGTCTACGCTATACAATAGACTTGGGCTATAACGGTACTCGCTCTTGCTGTGCATCTGCTATCGATACGTTTTAGCATATGTGGTGTTCATAGCAAAACAATACTTGGTTGTTGCTGTTATTGACAGCCGATAAATATAGGCTTAATATACTTCATGTTCGGACTTGACGTGGTAAAATAAGGTTATCACCACAAAGGAAGACAGTTTGGCTTCTAGAACATTTATATCTACGTGTTCTCGTGTATATTCGTCTGTGTGTCCTCCGACGGTGGGGTAGCCGATTGGTTAAAGCGTTTTCTCGTCTCGCCTAAGGACTGGGTTCGACTCTCACATGGATGCAATGTTCGAATATTGCGAATAGAACCAACTCACTCACTCACTCTGTATGTCCAGTTTTACTGCCTATATTTGCCCATGTTTCGTGGTTGTCAAGAATTTGTTTCAGAAAATACAGGGAAAATATTATTTGTGGTTTTGTGTGTTTTTTTCAAACAAATTTGTATCATTTGAATTATAAAAACGGTATGTCTTAAAGCAGTAACGGTCTAGTCTCTTATAAACTAATAAACCACCAGTGTCGTCATCCTATTGTTCTCCACGGGTAAAATGTCTTAAAGAGGGATGTTATAACATCCCCGGGATTTTAATAAAACAACTACCGTTAATATTGTAAAATGTGAGTGTTTGTCGCTAGAAATGTATTTTGTATTTGAAGAATGTAATGAAATGTAAAATCAAATGACAAATGTTTTCTCTATATTCCCGAGGATCGAACACGCAACCTTCGTATCTTCGTATGTGTATCACTAGGCTACAGACAAGCAGATAAATCCCAATGCTTTTAAGAATGTCTTTTTCAAGTACCCGTATACCAGCAATATATATTTTACACCCGTTTCCTAAGGTTCATGGAAAGTATGTTTGAAACAAGAAAATGTTGATAAATGTTGTTTTAAGATTCTTTTTTCGGTTTATAAGTTAGATAAAACACTTACCCTCGGGTTTTTATGAGTTTTAAAACCCTCATCCTCGGGATAAAACATAGGGGCGTCATTATCGCTTGGATTCGGTTTTTAAATCTCCTAAAAACCCGAGGGAAAGTGTTCTATCCTGCACATAAAGTCCCATGACCCACCTAACCCTCCCGATTATAAAGAGGCCCGTGTTGATGCTATGTGTGACCTGATTTTATTTCCTGGTACCCTGGCGATGTTGGGCGTTGCTCATGCTATAACTGTTGTATCCCTGGCCTGACTCGTTTTTTTTCAGGCAGCTGTGATATAGCCGGAATATTGTTGCCTGCGACGTAAAACATCAATCACTAACTCGCTTTTCGGTTCATCTGAGGTGTATTTTGTCCTGTGTTCAAGACACAATCAGAATAACATTAAGCTTGGAACGCATAAATTTAATATATTTATTCTTTCAGATTTCTCGAATAAATGACTCGACAATGGCGGGGATTAAAGGGATCATGAAACGCCCAATCATTCCCACTGGGGGCAACCACAAGGACTCCGATGTGGACAGCAAGTCGAGCCAGTCCCCGACCAAACGCTCAGTGCACACCGATCACAAATTTCCCTCGCTCTTGAAAGAAGACCACCCTGGCGAACAGAACCTTCTCGGAAACAGTTTATCAGCTAAACTCAGAAAAAACTTCCCAGGCGAATCCTCAGTGAGGAAACCCCTCCAGCAGAAGAACAGCAGGGGGAACGTGTTCCATCTCACCCAGACAAAGGATGGAATGGACCATGATGTGTACGAAAAGATTCGTCGTCAACAACAGGTTAAGAAACATGCAGAATGGAGTCGTAGAAAACAGGAGAAGCTTCAGTCTCGACTCATGTCTTGGGCCGTGGATGCTGAGCGATTCCTGCCCAAGAGCAGCCAGGGTGAACGAAAAGAGACAGAGAATCAGGTTCCTGCTGTTGTTGGGGGGAAAATAAAGTTTGATGACTTCCCTAGGGGTCGGGGCAGCTCCGTGATAAGCTATTCCTCCTCCTTCGATGAAGACAGTGTGAGGATGATGAAGAAAGACGGGGTATTCCGTCCTGTGAACAAATATGGCAGTTCCCGCCTTTTGAGAGGAGCAGACGACCTCCCTTTCTCGAACACTATCATCGATTATGAAACTGTGACATTACCTTTGAAGGATAAAACGAGAGAACAGAATGACGCAGAACATTTTCGGGGGAAGAAGTGTTTATCTGTGTCCTGGAGTGCTCAGAGCTTTCATAATGATCCAAGTGACGAAAAGAAGTCGGAAAGAGACTCGAAATCAGGCTCAGTGAAAAGTTTTATGAGTGAACCGATTGCATGGAAGAGACCGACCTTTTCGTCAGGCAGGAGCAAAGTTGAAAGTGTCGGTGTGATGTGGAAACTACCGCCTCAGAAACGGATTCCGAGTACAACACCGCCTCCGAAGCAAGTAAAGGCGTCCAGAGACTTGACCCCAGTGACTTCCGGTCTTGATCGAGAAGGAACTTCAACCGCAAAGACTCGCTGGCGCGTAAAGCCTTCTGGTTCTCCCGAGTCGGATTATGGGATGGAAACGGTGTACAACATCCGGGGCTCCTTGAAAGCTTTACGGCAGATGTCGTTCCGTGGAAAAATGTCTCCAAGAAAGATGACCTTCTCGGGTAGGAGTTCGGAGTCTGTATGCTGTCATTCTGGATGACACATAATATTATATCAAACGGCAAGGTCATACCACATTGCGACATGTCGTAAGTTGGTCTCGGTGTTACGACAATGTAATTTCACGACCAATCAGTCTTAAATCGGAAGTAACAGGATGTTAGAGTGAAAAAGTTACGTCAGCCATGTCATAAGATCACTTTGTGGAATTAGACCAAGTACACCGGAGAAATGGACCTCATATTCCCTCAATACTCATAAATGAGATTATCATAATACGCAACCATTTGTAATGCTAACACCATTACAGCCACACACTCCATTTCCACAGCACTAACACAATTACAGCCACACAATACATCTCTAGTAGTTACACCGGCCTAGCTACACAGTAAGCAGATTGGCCTAGATTCTACATAATCCTGTATTCATATAATACTACTTGATCATTGACACTAACCAAGCCGCTTAAACCAATACTCAATCTGCACGTTTGCCATCTTGGGAATTAAACATTTTTCACATCAATAATTGCAATAGTCATATTATCTTTTATCATCCAAAACTGGCTCCCACAGGAGGTATCGCTTGGGTGAGATCAAGCGATATCTACACTGTAGATATCGCTGCAATGAAATTGCATCACAATGCTTTGCAGACCATTGTGACATCATTGGTTACCATGACGTCATAATCAAATGACATCCCTTATGGCTCTGCTACTGAAGCTGTTAGCAGTACTTTTTACACTGAAGACACTGCTAATTACTGTCTACAAATTGAAAAAGTTGGAAGAATGATGTTGGATGATAAATACAATCTCACCCTCGTGTCTTTTGACATCAAATATATCAACACTCGTTGATAAAAGTGGCAAAAATCCTCGGCAAGCCTCGAAATATTTCCACTTTTATCAACTCGTGTTGATATATTTGATATCAAAAGACACTCGGGTGAGATTCTCTATTTATCATCCCAAACTGGCTCCCACAGGAGATATCGCTTGGTGAGATCAATGCAAGCGATATCTACACTGTAGATATCGCTGCATTGAAATTGCATCACAATGCTTTGCAGACCATTGTGACATCATTGGTTACCATGACGTCATAATCAAATGACATCACTAATGGCTCTGCTACTGAAGCTGTTCGCAGTACTTTTTACACTTAAGTCACTGCTTATTTTACTGTTTACATATTGAAAAAGCTGGAGGAATGATTTTGGATGATAAATAAAATCTCACCCTCGTGTCTTTTGATATCAAATATATCAACGAGTGTTAGATTCTCTATATATTCTCATACCATTGTGATAGCGTAACATGTTTTTCCAATAAGTCATGTCATTTTCCCCTCAAATGATAGGGGCGGTCGGGTAGCCTAGTGGTTAAAGCGTTCGCTCGTCACGCCGAAGACCCGGGTTCGATTCCCGGCATGGGTACAACGTGTGAAGCCCATTTCTGGTGTCCCCCGCCATGATATTGCCGGAATATTGCTAAAAGCGGCGTAAAACCATACTCACTCACTCAAATGTTAACATGACATTAGTATGCCCTTCTTCCCGAGGCAAGGGAGTTAACTGTCTATATAGGTGCAGTTTCAACCCTAGCCGAACTAGGCTGGAGTTACTGAGTTGTATTTTGGCTGAACTAACGGGTCTATGCATAGTCCAATCAAAATCGCGTAACGAAATCGACATCCGGTTCGTAAGCTGCCGTGCAGATGTCGGTCGAGTGCAGGATTTGCAAAGCGTGTGTACCGTCAACGTAGGGTAAACCTATATTTTTCAAATCCTTTCATGTTTTTAATCAGGGTGCTCACGTGATTTGATGCACATTGCGATGTAAGACCCGTTTTATCACAATATAGATCTTGATTATTGAAAATATCGTCTTGGCTGGGCGCCGCCATTTTGTTTGAAGCAAATGCAAGTGATACAAGAGGCGGAATCTGATTGGTCAATCGGAGAGACATAGAAGGGACACAACTCGTAATAACCACTGGTGGCGCTACGATCGAGCCCAGAAAATCCAGCCTAGTTCGGAAAGGGTGCAAACTGGACTTTTACAGTCAGTCAACACTCTTGCCTTCGGAAGATGCAGTATGCCACCCGCTATAACTAGATACACTTTCGAGGCCTCTTGGTAACTTATGCCGGTCATGAGAGGTCGAGAGATGACAAGGTGATTGGCTATAAACTCCTACAGCTGAAATATTGCTGAGTGTAACTGCTATAGCTGAAATATTGCTGTGTGTGAACTCCTACACCTGAAATATTGCTGAGTTGAACTGCTATAGCTGAAATAATGCTGAGAGTGAACTGCTACGGATGAAATATTGCTGAGTGTGAACTGCTATAGCTGAAATATTGCTGAGAGTAAACTGCTATTGCTGAGAGTAAACTGCTATAGCTGAAATATTGCTGAGTGTGAACTCCTATAGCTGATATATTGCTGAGTGTGAACTGCTATAGCTGAAATATTTCTGAGTGTGAACTGCTATAGCTGAAATATTGCTGAGAGTAAACCGCTATAGCAGAAAAATTGCTGAGTGTGAACTGCTATAGCTGAAATATTGGTGACCACAGGATGTATTTGCGATATTGCCGAGTAATATAATACGCCTTAATATAATTGTAATACAGTAAACTACGGTTATAACGAACTCAAAGGGACTATTAATTTTAGTTCGTTATAACCGTAGTTCGTTATATGTACATATACAGCATGACTACAGCAAGTAGTCGGGACCAAAAAGTAAGTTCGTTATATCCTTCAGTTCGTTATAAGCGTGTTCGTTATAACCGTAGTTTAGTGTATTGCTAAGCATGATAAAACTTTTATATTTCTCCTACTCAACAACTTACTCACTTACTCTACAGGCACAATTATTGGAGCCAGATGTTTTTTGTCATCATAAATGATTTGTATTAAAAACTATAAATGATAACGACAAATAATGTTTATCACATATCAACTCTCTGATCCAAATCTGATCTGGACAAAAAAGAATCAAACGTTTGTAAGAAGTATATCCGTCCTAATATGATCGTAGAACAAACATTTTGCGGAATTTCGTCGGGTTAGTTTGCTTTAAGTTGATCTCCAATATCTAATTTCCCCGAGACAAAACATATTGATTATTTGCTTGTCGGAATTGTTACCTTTTGAAAATCAAGTGATAGCACATTTAGCTTTAGGATCAACTTTATTTCATCGCTTTCTTGCCTCCTACAACCAGATGATATACACATGTACTCACAGGCAAAAATAATTCATGATATGAATTAATAAATAACTGAAACTATTTGTCTAGGCAAATAAATATAGTTGGATGCCGTTTTAAGGCGTATTAAGAGAAGAAGGTGCCCTCACGTCACAAATTGTCTTTCCTATTGAGTGCTGTGCGTCTCTAATGCCTGAGAAAAACACAAAAATATTGCCACGCAAAGTTTGTATAGAAAAAAACAACAACAGAATCTTGGGCCCGCTTGAAGAGAAAAATCTTAATTAATATTGTTCTGTAGAAACATGATAACAGTTACGTTTGCCTGTGACTGTACATGATTATATAATAGATTTGTTCGAAGCACTCCTAGAATATTAGCAATCACAGTGTATTCTGTATATACATCGGGAACTGTCGGTTTTTGTCCCATCTGAACCACATGGTGGTGTCATGGGTTACTCGGACTGTGTATTGTGTCCTGTTCATACTTTGTATTGACCAACAACTGACCGACACTCCGTCCACCTGTGCTTGATATACTTAGAAACTATAAATACGCAACACAACTTCACAAGTAATATACATAACTACATAGATACAGGAAACTGTTGCTTTTTAAATGTCCTTAGGGTATATAAGCGCGCTCGAATATCCAGTATTTCTACACACAAACTTGTCTACGCGTCTCCAAACATATTCATGTAACACGTTTTTTTTGTAACAATCATTTTAATTACCTCAAGCTGCTATACTGTCAGAGCATTCATACATGTAACTGCAATGATCTATAAAAGTAAGTATATGCTGAGCTGTTTTCGTCATGTGTCTGTATGTTGAATGATAGCCAAAGTGGTGTAGTGGATAGAGCGTCCCCCTTTTTATTTCGAAAAAAAATCTTTATTTCTGTATAAATTACCACCAAAGACAATAAATAGATCTTAATTGTGCACCCCCCCCCCCCTTTTCAAAAAAGCTGTATCCGCCCATCAATCAGGTTTAATCAGGGTGCTCACGTGATTTGATGCACATTGCGATGTAAGACCCGTTTTATCACAATATAGATCTTGATTATTGAAAATATCGTCTTGGCTGGGCGCCGCCATTTTGTTTGAAGCAAATGCAAGTGATACAAGAGGCGGAATCTGATTGGTCAATCGGAGAGACATAGAAGGGACACAACTCGTAATAACCACTGGTGGCGCTACGATCGAGCCCAGAAAATCCAGCCTAGTTCGGAAAGGGTGCAAACTGGACTTTTACAGTCAGTCAACACTCTTGCCTTCGGAAGATGCAGTATGCCACCCGCTATAACTAGATACACTTTCGAGGCCTCTTGGTAACTTATGCCGGTCATGAGAGGTCGAGAGATGACAAGGTGATTGGCTATAAACTCCTACAGCTGAAATATTGCTGAGTGTAACTGCTATAGCTGAAATATTGCTGTGTGTGAACTCCTACACCTGAAATATTGCTGAGTTGAACTGCTATAGCTGAAATAATGCTGAGAGTGAACTGCTACGGATGAAATATTGCTGAGTGTGAACTGCTATAGCTGAAATATTGCTGAGAGTAAACTGCTATTGCTGAGAGTAAACTGCTATAGCTGAAATATTGCTGAGTGTGAACTCCTATAGCTGATATATTGCTGAGTGTGAACTGCTATAGCTGAAATATTTCTGAGTGTGAACTGCTATAGCTGAAATATTGCTGAGAGTAAACCGCTATAGCAGAAAAATTGCTGAGTGTGAACTGCTATAGCTGAAATATTGGTGACCACAGGATGTATTTGCGATATTGCCGAGTAATATAATACGCCTTAATATAATTGTAATACAGTAAACTACGGTTATAACGAACTCAAAGGGACTATTAATTTTAGTTCGTTATAACCGTAGTTCGTTATATGTACATATACAGCATGACTACAGCAAGTAGTCGGGACCAAAAAGTAAGTTCGTTATATCCTTCAGTTCGTTATAAGCGTGTTCGTTATAACCGTAGTTTAGTGTATTGCTAAGCATGATAAAACTTTTATATTTCTCCTACTCAACAACTTACTCACTTACTCTACAGGCACAATTATTGGAGCCAGATGTTTTTTGTCATCATAAATGATTTGTATTAAAAACTATAAATGATAACGACAAATAATGTTTATCACATATCAACTCTCTGATCCAAATCTGATCTGGACAAAAAAGAATCAAACGTTTGTAAGAAGTATATCCGTCCTAATATGATCGTAGAACAAACATTTTGCGGAATTTCGTCGGGTTAGTTTGCTTTAAGTTGATCTCC